GCCATAACAGTGACTTGTCCTTCGCCTTTGAGAGCTCACCTCGACCCTCATGCTACAGGGCACCGTCACGTCGACCAGGCGGTTGGAGACATCGAGGCCCGTGTTCTCGCCTGCACACATACATACGCACAAACGAATGCGTGTGTGGGTCCGGGAGAGTTTGATGTGATGTGTGTATCCTCCGTGGCCACATGTGTTTGCATTGCGTCCTACCCTTGCCCCAGGTCATGACGCTTCCGTCACGGATGAGGGCCATAGTGTGGAACTGCCCGCCACACAGGCTCACCACCTGCACACACACAGAGATAGATACCCAGACAGACAGACCACTCGCACTCGCTGATCACCGTCCCTGTGCACACGTGTGGCTTACGTCTTTGTCGTAGAGTGCCGGGATTTCCATCAGGCGGTCGACGGTGTTGGTCTTGGTGCCGATGCCCACCTCCCCACACGAGTTGGACCCGCACCTGCATCGACAACACACACGCGAGCCACACACCAATGTTCGTGTGCATGTGTGGGCCGCTGCCCGACCTTTCCCCACCCATAATGGCGTTTGCCGTCGTTGGCGGCCAACACCGCCGCCACGAAGGTGGCATTGCCACACGCCCACACGCGCCTGATGTCGGCCTCTCTGCCCAATCCCAACCTGCACATGACCAACACGACGCACAGATGCATCTTCGGGGCTGCCTAAGTGCCCTCCATATGTGACGCCACTCACTGGTGTGTGGTGCGTCTGGTGGGGAAGAGGGCGGCGTCGAATGCCGCGCGGTCAGTGGGGCCTGTGGCGGGCGGCTGGGGGAAGGTCAGCTGGGAGAAGTCGTTGGCCCCCCACACGTACAGCTGACACACACACATAAATACAAACAGACAGACAGACACACATGGATGGTGGATAGTGTTATGTGGTTGCTTGCCTACCACTCCCCTTGAGAGTGCAACGGTGTGGTTGTCGCCGCTCGCCAGCTGCTCCACGTCGGTCAGGCCGGGCAGCCGGTAGGGGTAGAGCTGCTTATTGACCGCACCACCCACCTTGACGCCGATGCGCTGGCCGTTGAAGACCTGTGGAGCGACAAAACCAACCGCACAGACAGACATTCGTACAAACTCATGTACGTTTGTATGCGTGTGCGTATGTTTAACTCGCTTACGGCATGGTTGAGGGCTACGGCGAGGCCCACAGCGCCCTCATCCGCCAAGACCAGCCTGGCCTTGCTGCACACACACACACGCACACACACACACACACAGAGAGAGAGAGAGAGTCTAAGAGAGAGGGCTGCGACTGAGAGAGAGCAGACAGATGATGATTTCGCCGTACGTTGGAATGTGACGAAACGGTGCTCCTGAGCTGAGCCAGTAAGCCTTGTGAGCGGCGCCACGGTAAATCCCCATACCAGCACCATTTTGCCGAAATTGATGAATGGATGAGGTGCGTAGGCCAAGGAGAAGATGGATGGGCAAATATAAAATGGAGGCAGCAATCTGCACAAAGAGACACATAGACAGCAGGTCTATAAAGATGGCGACAGTGCAATGCGTGACGGCCCCCTTGCTCACCTCTTTGGCCCTCCTCACCGCCTTTCCCGTCTGCCGCTGCAGCAGCAGAGAGGCAACAAAGGTAAGTGAGACGGACATGTCTATAGAGAATCGCCTCACTTACCGCGTCAGTGAGGTCTCTGGCCGTGGTCGTGGTGCGCATTCCAAGGAGAGCAAACAGATCCACAGATACAAAATGGAGGCAGCAATCTGCACAGAGAGACAACGACAGAGACAACGACAGACAACATTATCTTTCGCCTGCATAACATGCCTGTATCTGTCTTGTACCTTTGTGCTCACACCTATAGTCAGGCAGACAGGCAGTCAGGCAGACAGGCAGATTAGCGACGGCATTCGCATTTGAAAAAGAGTCCCCTGCCATTCCCGTCTACGACCAAAATCCGCCGCCACCGACGCGCACCACCATCCCCATGACTCGTGCTCCCAGTGGACCTCCCACATCTGCCCCTCCCGCCTCCAGTATTCCACCCTCCCGCTCGCTAAATCCCCATACCAGCCCTCCTCCCCCTCCCCCTCCCCCGCCACACGTACAGGTACCTTGTAAGGGTACTGTTGCTGCTGTTGCTGCGGGATGAGCACATGGCCCTGCTGCCTTGGGATGGTGCTGGTCGTCTGCAAGCGGGGGCGGGGGCGGGGGATAGGAGATTGAATGGCCAGAGCCGGGGTGTCGTCCCTCCCGAGCGCGTGTCTCCCTCGCAGATACCTGAGCAAATATAAAATGGAGGCAGCAATCTGCACACACGACACAGACAGGCTCCCAAGTTTTCTGACAGCAGGTCAAGAAAGATGACGGCATATGCATTGTGTGACGGCCCACCTGCTGACCTCTTTGGCTCTGTCGTCCGCCTCCCTGTCCTTCCTCTTCTTCTCCTCGACATGCGCTTCCTGATCTCGCGCTGCAGGAGCAGAGAGGCAGTCAGACCAGGCATTTCGTCGACGAGTGAATTGCAATATGACTCACCGCGTCGGCAGTGTCTCCCCAGGACACGCGGCGTCACTGCCGCTCCTCTGTTGCCCATGCCGCTGCTGCCGCCTTCATGTGTGGCGGTTTGAGGTCGCCGTCACCGTTCCGTTAGCTTTCCTGGAGGCAGCAACCCCCACTTCCGAAACAGCTGCAGACGCACACAAAACAGTGGCATTGAACACAATGATGAATGGCTGTCACCTCACGTGTTCTGCTCTCTCCTGCGCCACGCGGGCGTGTTTCTCCTTCGCCCTCCTCCTCGCTTCCTTCTGCACAGGAAGAAACCCACAACCATCTCAAGAACATAAGATTGCTATGGGATCTCTCTGTGCGGGTCTTTTGCTTACGGCCTCGGGTGTCTTGTACCACGGCATCCCTGTCGAGTGGTGGCGGGCCTGGCGGGCCTGGAACGTGGAAGGACAGACTGTCAACAAGATCGATGAGATACGCATCTCAGACTGATCTTACCGCGATGAAGTCGTATTTTGCCCGGGTGTCGTGGTTCGACAGCACCTCGTAGGCCTCAGCCACCCGCTGAAACTCCTCCTTTTCCCCCCTTTGTCCGGATAGTGGCGCTACAAGCACACACAGACAGAGAGAAATCGGCCCTTCTAGGGCAGCCGTCTCAGACGCCCTCGTGTCGCCCCCCGTTGACCGACAGTGCAAATGAGCTCTTTCCCTGTCTGTCTCCTGCCCCTGCTGCCTGCCGTCCCCTCACACCCGCTCCGCTCACCAAGGCCAGCCTCTTGAAGGCCTTCCCGATCTCATACTGACTGGCGGTGGGCGGGAGCTCCAGACAGGCGTAAAAGCCCTCAGGGTCGCAATGCTGCTGCTGCTGCTGCTGCTGCTTCATCTTGCACAACTCCTCTCTTCTCGCGTCCTGTATGCTTGCAGCCCGGAGGGCGGCCCTCTCTTTTTTGTCTCACCTTTCGTCCCAGGAACCATAGGCGTGCCGGCGTGCTGCTTGTCAGAAGCTTGTACAGCATCGCACCAGAGACCCGTCTTTTTTGTGTGCCGCCTTGTTTACCGACGACCCACACGTTGACGGACTCGTCGTAGTCGTCACCGAAGAGCACCTCGGGCGGCATATACTCCCTGTCGCCGATGACACCCAACCTGACACACACAGACACACGCACTCTCTCTCTCAGACAACACGCATCTCTCTATCTCTCTCTCTCTATTTCTCACGTGTTGGGTGATGTCGTGACGTAGGCCAGGTCGGTCACGACGGCACGCAGGAGGGAGCCGTTCTCGAGGCTGCTTTGCACCAGCATGATGTTGGATGGTTTGAAGTTAAGATTGATCCACTTGCTGCAGACATACATGGCACACAAGGACAGCGCATCAATCCACACACACGCCCACGGGCGTGGCATAGCACCTCGCGTGGTCCCTCTCTCGTAACACACGGCGCATCACGGTCGTCGACACCGGGAAGCGAGCGTCCAGCGGCGCAACAGGAGGAAGCCGTTTTTCACCTGCAGCTGAAAGCTGAATATCGTGTTGGGCCCACTCTGAAGCGACAATAAGCCCATCCTGCATGCTCATCGGCTCCCTCGGAGCGACAGTCCGCAGCGATGCCCGGCTCGTCACTGATCTCCTCGGTCATCAGACGGTAAGACCGGCGGTTAGCACGGTCGTCAAGGCGACGCTCGAAACGCCCAATCCGACCAAGAGGCACCGGCTGCTCAATCTGCCAGCAAAACAGCATGTGCAGCAGATAAGACGAGCATGAGGGGAAGTAACAACCACCCCAGCGGAAGAAACAACAATGATGCTGAACGGAGGAAAGAGACGAAGGAAAAGGCTTAGCGAGTGGGATGAACTGAATGCCGAGAGGAGAATGGGCAAATCCGTGGTGGAATCTACTTATTTTGTCTCTGTCTCGCGGGAAGGTTCTCGTCGGGTTTGAAACCCTAGACCTTAAAACCCGTTTGTTCGGAATGAACGGGTCGCCTTCATATCGGCACGCGGAGAGAAGCAGAAAAAATGAGTTGCGCTCCTCGATTCATCGGTGATGCTTCATTGCCCGGAGATTCGTCGGCGGCTGATGTCCATCTTCAAGCAGATGTGCTACACCGCCCGACACGACTACCCAGGCGACGGCGAGAAGGAGATAGCCAAGATCAAGACATGGATCCGCCAGCGGCAGCACCTCCAACAGCCCGAGGACCTCAAGAGGGCCCTGGCGTGGCTGCGCTTCTACCGGGGAGAGCTCGAGGCCACCATCTCACTCGCCAAGTATCGGGCAATGAAGAGGAGATACGACCGGACAGACAAATGACCGGCGATTCGCCGACCCAGGCGAGTGATGAGTGTCTGGAGCGCTGCAAGGCTTTATACAAGTAGGCGGCGAGCGCCAGCAGTGCATCGTCCTTCTCGAGGAGACCCTCTCTTCGCTGCCGTCATGTGCCGAGCCTACTGTTCTGGCGGAGCTGCATCACTGCCTGGGCGTTTTGATTGCAGAGGAGTCGTCCGATGCTTCTTGTTCTTCCCCTCCAAGCAGCAGCCGGGATTCACAAGACGCGGCTGAAGCTGCAGGTGCATTGCTTCATCTCGAGAAGGCTGTCGAGCTGCACCGCTCAGGCGTCAAGTACTGGTGCAGCCTGGCGACGCTTCTGCAGCGGGCGGGGGATTGCAAGCGCGCTCTTGAGGCAATCAGAGCGGCAACTGAGGTGGATGGCCACTACATCCAGGCGTAGCAAAGGCGTGGCAGTCTCTCACGGGGTCTCCGGCTTCACTCTGAGGCGCTGATGTGCTACGAGCGTCTCATGGCCGAATGTCCAGACAATCCGTCTTGGCCGTTCTACGCTGCCAAGGTGCTCTTGCGTGACGACAAGAGGTCTGCCAAAGCCGTGACATACCTCAGGAGGGCTGTCGAGCTGGACCCCACCAATGAGTGCGCGAGTTATTGGCTGGCGTTCTCTTCTGGCGAGGCGGATGGGGTCGACAAGGCGCCGTCATCGTACGTGCAGAAGCTGTTTGACGGCTACGCGCATTCGTTCGAGTCACACCTGGTGGGCAAGCTGCACTATCAGACACCTCAGCTCGTGTGCCAAGTGCTGCGTGAGAATGGCCCCCTGCTATCGCCACCTGAGCCTCTGGACGTTCTCGATCTTGGCTGTGGCGCTGGGCTTGCTTGTCGGGCACTGAGGAGCAGTGACATGATGGAGTGCCTGGGCGCATCGCGCCTGACTCTTGTGGATGTGGACCTGTCGGAGAAGATGCTGCGTGAGGCGGATGCTAAGGGGGGGTATGACGCGCTCATCCATGGCGACATAGTCGAGGTAAGCAGATTAGGGGCATTCGACGACCTGTGCAGAACACACCTACTGTTTCCGTCTCTGCCGCTCTGCAGGTGCTCAAAAGGTGGCCAGACGTCGACATCTGTCTCCCCGCTGCGGCTGTGCGGCCCCCTCTGCCCCCGTCCTTCCACCTCATCGTGGCCTGCGATGTGTGTGTATATCGGCAACCTTGGAAGCCTCTTCGAGTGCATCTCTCCTCTGCTGCGCGAGGGGGGGCTGCTCATCTTCTCGATTGAGAGCGGCGACGCGACTTCAGGTGACGGTGGATTCAGCCTGACTTCGACGGGCCGATACTGCCACGGTCGGAGATACGTCGAAAGGGCGGTTGAGGCAGCTGGCGGGATGTCAGTGGTCTGTCTCCGTGAGGCACGAGATGCTTCGCAAGCAGGGCGGTGAACACGTGATGGGCGATGTGTTCACTGTGAGGAGGAAGGCCACATCCTTGGCGTGAAGGGGCTTTTGGTTCGCGTTTTCCTTTGTGCGGACGATGGATGAGACTGCTTCTCGATGAATCGATTATGTGGTTTACGGTGTTACCACGCACAAATGGCTCACACTGCAGGCCAGGTTGTTCCGATGATTCTGTCCACCACCCGTCAAGTCAGACAGCACTCAACTACACTAATCAGGTCAGCTGTTCTGTCAAGTCGGGTCAAGTTAGTGCAGGGCGCAGCACTATCGAGCGCAACACGGATGGCAAAATTGACCGCTGACGAGTCAGTCAGACACGCAACAAGTACGTGTACGCAACACGACATACATGTCCCTCGTAATCAGGGACGGCCAAAAGATCGGAAGATCTCACACCTCTCCCTCCTGTTGCCCTGGTGTCCGTACACACGTCTCTGTCCATGGTCGCACAGCCATTCGCACACGGAAGCTGGAATGGACGGAAGCAAGGGCGGACGGCTCATGCAGCCCGACTCGTTTCGCTTTCTCTGCAGAAACCACACGAACGAAAGCAGTGGTCGACACCCACTGATCGACGCTGAAAACGCAGTTGGATGGTCAGAAACCCGTCTCACCGTTTTCAGCGTCGCTTTCGTTTCGCGTCCATCCAACTGTCGTCCTCCTCCTCTCCTTCATCCTGTCGGCGGCGGCCACTGGAAGCTGCTCAACAACAACCAGACAAAGCCAGAGAGTCAGTCAGTCATCCATGCACGCACTTTCTCCCCTTGTGGTCGCCTGCCCACGTGCCTCACCGCTGCTGCCGTACTGAAGATCCCCCGTGGCACCCTGGAACAGCTGCACGCCCTCCTGGGTTGGCCCGAAACCCCCCTCACCACCCTGCTGCGCACCGCCGGCAGCAAATGGAGAAGAAGAAGCTGCTGCTGCTGCTGCTGCTGAAAAAAGAGCTGCCCCCGCCCCACTCCCTTGGTGGCCAGTAAGAACCCCGGTGCCGAAGGACAGCGATGGCCCCGACAGCCGCCCCCGCCGTCCGCGTCTCCGCGAAGAGGATGAGGATGAGGGCGATGCCGATGCCGCCCCTTCTGCTGCTCCTGCTGCTGGTGCTGCTGTCCCACTGTCCTTGTCGGCCTGCTGGGGTAGGCCGAAGAGGGGGGCGGACTGGAAGGACGGGAGGGACGGACTGCTGCCCTGAAAGGAGAGCTCGACAATCGGTGGGGACTGGACCGGGCCGAATGTCGATGTTGCGTCTCGGCCGAAGAGCGGAAGGTGAGGGCCGAAGAAGGGGCGGTCAGGGGCTTCCGCCTACACCAAAGCAGATTGCCCATGGATGGGTGGATGCATGTCATGTTATGTGCCTGTCGGATCGATTACCTCTTCCGTGTCCTCGCGCATGCCGCCGTCACTCGGTGCAACGGCCTGCAACAAACAGACAGAGAGGAATGAGGGATACCGAGTGCGTGAGAAGAAGGAGTTGACAAGCTCGGTGACTGTTTACAGCGGTGGGCTGGAATGGACGTAGCCGCTCCCACTTGCCGGTCCACGCCTAAGTGCACAGAGGAAGTAAGTTTGTCTACGACAACCAGATGACACACATGCATACCAGCTCTATCGAGTGCTGTGCGCTGCCGTCCGCCTGACACAGCACGCCCAACAAGCAGTACAGGAGTGATACATACATGACGTGTCTGAATGAATGAACCAACCAATGGACGAAGACCACCCACCTTCAGGACGAACATGTCACACAGCTGCTTCGACTCGATGCAGTAGGGGGCCAGCTCGGTGACGCTCCGCACATCCGGGAAGGCCTTGTCCGTGGAGAGCCGCGACAAACTGGTGCCTAGCTGATAGCACCCGCCGAAACCCCTGACACCATGAGAGACAGCATCACACACCACACAGCAGCTGTGGATGTGTGGCCTCACTTAAGTGACATGTGCGGGCATACCAGCTGAGCACATCGCCGTTGGTCGTTGTGGCCAGAGTGTGCGTCTCGCCCGCGCCAATCGTGGCGAGCCTGACACCCTGAGCGACCAAACACGGTCATGCCGTCATGTGTGTGGCTGTGTCGCTCAGTCACTCTGCTGCCCGGTGTATGTACTTACTCTCACACGCGTGGTCATGAGGGGCAGCGCCATCGGGACCTCCTTGCCTGGCGTGCCCGTCCCTGTCAGCTCCTCTGCACACACACACACACACAAACACACACATACACGGACGCACCAACAGACATGGACGAGCTGGTGATGCTTGCTTGTGTGTCGGTGGCTGAATGCTTACGCTTCCCCCAACTCATGAAGGAGCCGTCGTCGAGTAGGGCCACGGTGTGATGCGCACCGCCCGCCATGTGTGTGATCTGCCAGAATAATACACGACACACACATTCAATGCACACATGAATGCGTGTTCATTGCGGTTGTGGCGCGTACGTGTTTGTTCCTCAAGGCAGTGACCTCCGTCACGGTGTCAACGAACTCGCACACAACGCCCAAGCCCAGCTCCCCCCGGCTGTTGATGCCACAGCTGACGTACCACACATCCACCCATAGCACACGGCACACTTCGTTTGTTGATTGCATACATTCCTTGCTGCTTGCTCAGCTTACCCGTAGTATCTGATGCCGGCCCGTCCCGTGTCGGCGGCGATGAAGGTCACGTTGCCGAACGCCCACACGCGCGTCATGCGGCCATCGATCCCCAACCTGATGGGAGTGCGCATTCACAGAGGCAAAACACCTATGGTGCCGCCTCAGCCCGCCAGCTTACTGCTCTGTGGTGCGCATCATGGGCAGGGCTGTGGCCATGAAGTCGCCTGGGCGGGAGTTGGGCATCGTCAGCTGCCCAAACTCGTTGCTGCCCAGCACCATCAGCTGCAATCCATCCATCCATCCATCCGTGAGCAAAGAAAACATCCATACATCCACCCACATGTGAGACCATGGATGTCGTTTAATTGCCTACCACGCCTTCTGTTGAGAGGGCGACGGTGTGGTTGTCGCCACTAGCCACCTGCTCAACGTCCTCCAGGCCGGGCACCATGGCGGGGTACTTCTGTTTCTCGGCCACGCACGGCACGACCGCCTTAAAGAACTGAAGCGACAGAGGGAACGCACTCAATGCACACCTTTACGCGATGCATACGTATCTTCTCCCGTTCTCACCGTGCTACGGAGCTGGGCCGCTCGGTCGACGGCAGCTTCGGTCCAGAAGGCCACCCGCGCCACGCTGCCACCACACAAACACACAAACACACTTCAATATCCAACAGAGACACACACAGCAGGCAGGGTGCTGCATATTGCTCACTTCTCGTCCTTCTCGTCGTCCGTGCGGAGTCGGACATCTTGGACATCTCCGACAACCTTGCCGAACCAGCGCCTGACTTCGTCCTCGGAGGCCGACTCGGGAAGGCCGGTGATGAGCACCTCACGGCGCGGGAAGCCGATGACGCCACTCGTGTCCTGATAGGTACACAGACAGACAGACAGACAGACAGAACTGGATGCATGTATGTATGGGCCGAGTGAATCACTTGTACCCTGTACGCGCCGCAGATGTACACTTGACCCTCAAACGAAAGGGCCGCGGTGTGGCTGTCGCCGCAGACCACCTGAATGGGTGCAGCACATAAACACGTACATTGAGATTCTCATGTCTTGTCTGTCTGTCGGTGTTGAGTTACCTTCTTGACCGGCACAGGCATGTGGCGCACCGCCACTGCACGCACACAACAGATGACGAATAACTCGTGTACTGTACGGTGTCCGTTCGGCTGCCTACATACGTACGTGGCTCATAGTCTTGGCCAGCTCGTCCCAGGGCGTACTCATCCGGACAGCCTGGTGGGCAAACGCACGCAATGACAGAAACGGACGCATTGGCAGGTGCACGCAATCCATGCGCATTCCGCATACATACCCCATGTCCAGATGGCTCCTTCGACGTCGAGTGCGGCGTTGTGTGGGGAGCCCACCGAGATGTCCCAGATGCCCCTGTTCTCGAGCGCCTGGACAAGACACACCCACCGGTCAATCACACCACACACATGGGCATAAATAAATGGGTGAGTCTCGGCTTGCGTACAAGGATCTTGTCGGGCATCCGCCGGTATGGCCGGTCTAGGTCTTGCCCCAATACGCCACAGTCGCCTGAGTACCGTCAAACAGCGTCATGAAGGTCATCCCCTCCCTCCCTCCCTGCTAGCTTGCGTCCATGCTTACTGCTGCCGTGCGCGTAGACATCTCCCACGGGCACAAGCCCCTCCCACGGCAGCTGAGGCTCCTGGAACGTCGTGAAACGGGCTCCTCCCTGCCGGCCTTCGTAACCTCGCCTCGAAGTCGACGGTTCGGTGATGAAGTTGATGGGCGGCAGAGAGGGCGAGATGGATGGCTGTCGGCCACCATACAGGGAGGTGGCAACGGCTGCGGCGAATGACGCCCCTGCACACACACACACAGCCGGAAGGAGAGAGGAGTGCACGTCCATGAGTTATGTTTTGTCTGTGCATTGCGTTGCTCACCTGGAGCTGCGTGCACGGGGATCATCTTCTCGTCTGCCGCTCGGGGGATCTCCGGAATGGCCTCCTCACCCAGTACCGCACTCCCGTCCTGACAGACACACACAGACACACACACACACACACACACGAACGGACAGATGGACAGCCGATGACCTGCTCACACAGGCGAGCTGAAGTAGGCATCATGTGTCCTCACCGGTCGTCTTGGCGAGTCCTCGATGGCGAGTGGTCGTGGCCCATTTTCGATGGCCAGCAACCGCGGAGAACCGCCAAACGTGATGCCTGCACGATACACACAGAACACTCATGTAATTCCAAGTGTGATGCGTTCGGCTTGGGGATACTCACGCGGCCGAGGAGCCTCTTCTTGAAGTTGGCGGCGATCTTGTGGGTGTGCTGGGGGGGTGTGGGGCTGAGGGCGGCCCTCACGCTGGTCGAAGAGGCCCTCCATGGCCCGCATAATGCGCTCCTGCACACACACAGCCCAACACGCATCAATACTTGTCCCATCCGTCCCTCTCCGACCACCCACTGCCTCCCACCAGCCCTCGCCGTCTGTCCCTCACTGCGATCTTGCCCGTCTGTGTGATTTCTGACCTTAAAGCGCTGGATTGTGATGGTAGCCCACAGGATGGCGCCACCAGTGGCGAGGGCGAGGGCAGCTCTGCTGCGGCGGGGCCCGTGTGCAATGGCGAGGTGGCAGGTGCCATGCACGAGGCACTTGGTCTTGCAGACCGGCACCGCTGCACACCCCGCCTTGAGGACAGCACCGAAAATACTCTCGAACAGGAGCATTTGCCGAAATGGATGAATATTGATGAATAGATATGTTGGTGTCGCGTCCAGCGCCCGAAGCGATCTGTCTCGATGTCGGCTGACGGGGGCTTCCAGGACAAGATGAGTACACCGATAGACAGCCCACACGACGTCGGTCCAGATGCAGTCCTTTGCGGGCGAAAATGCGTCCTCCTTCTCGGCACCTCGATCCGATCCCACCAGCCATCACCGACTTATTCGCACTGCAAAGAGCGCCTCAGCAGGATGATGTGGCCGGATGGCTGAGGTTCGCGGCCTGGTGGATTTGATGTCAGCGATGTTGCCGTGCTGCCGATGCCGAGCAGCGCCATGGCGAGCATGTGCAGGCCGCCGCCACCGTGGAATCGTTGAGATCTCTGGCCGCCAGCACCAGTCGCAGAACCACACACGGAAATGGCGCAGATCGGCCCAGCGGTGTAGATCTCCACCTGCAGGCACACACACAGCACAGGCAGAAACATTGGCAGTGTAATGGCGCGTCGTGTTCAGGCTGAGGACATCTGCGAGCTCAATAGCAAGCTCGCAAATCTTGCCTAGGGTGCTTCGTGAAACCGCTGCTGCTGCTTCGGGCAAAAACCCTTGACCCCTTCCAAGGTCTCTTTCGATTTCCCGATGGCGTCCCAGCCGTCGAAGAGCCCTTCGGGTTTCCCTTCCCTGCTCAGCATAACACTCAGGCAGGCGGCCGACATGGCCACGTCGCCTGATCCGGCCAGACGAGCCTTACTCCGCAAACTCGTCGATTCATGCTCGGAGGCCGCGACGGACCAGACAGCATCGTGCTTGTGCAAGTGAAGAGCCACATTGAGCAAGAGATGAGCCGCCTCGGCCTGGAGGACGTCCTGAGCTTCGATATCGATGATCTTGAAGGCGTTTTCAAGGTCCTGTACGCGCTGCGGCAGGGCGATGACGAATGGCGAGCGATAGGGCGAACCATCCGGGTGGCCTCTGTCTGTCAGCTTACAACCGATTCTCCTCTGCCCCTTCGCCTATCGCCTGATTCATTGCCCACTGCCACGGCCTTCGACAAGTTGCCCCTTGCCATGGTGCTCTACGGGCTCGTCGGGCACCTCCTCGAATGCAACGGGAGCCGCCTGACGCTGCACCACGATGACAACGGGGCATGCAGCATATACGACGAGGCCTTTGATGTGGTGCGGCTGGGCGATTTGCCTCCCTGGCATGGCTACGCTGAAGCCTACCAGATGACGGACCCTGTTGTTCGCTGCAGGAAGCGGCAAAGGAAAGATATCTTTTATCCCTCATTCTCTTTGTCTCTGGTGCACCTGCTGGCTGAATGGAGCCGCAAGGCCGCGGGCAAGCGGCTGAAGCCCATTTGTTCTGTCGGGCGTCCTGACCGTCGCTTTCCTGAGGCTCCCTGTTCTTACAAACAACTTCTCGAGTGCCGCCTGCCTGACCGTCGCATTCGGCGTCTGATGACCGAGGGGATCAGCGGGGTGGAGGGTATCGCTGGCGAGTGTCGCTTCGAGATGACCGATGCACATCAACATCCTTATTGTGCCACATCTCTTGCCTATCAGCGCACATCTATCTACCGTCGCATTCTGGTACTCAGCGACTCCCGAGCCAACAAGGTGATCATCGTCCATCTGGAGGTGAAGCACAGCCAGCTTTTTCTGTTTACTACGGAGCCGCCTGCTGCCGAGGCCGCCCAGCCGATGACCGTCCGATTCCCGGTGTCGATGCGCCTGCTGCGGCCCGTTTTGCGGCGCTTCGATCTTGAGGCCGAGGTCGTGCAGCCGGGGCTGGTGATTATTGACGATGATGAGGAGGATGTGTGATGGGTGGGCCTACAACGTATGGTCCTGTAGTCGAGGGATTGGCTTTCGATGGTGCGTGTTGTCGTGTTGATTGGGGGGCAAAAAAGTCACTGACAGTTTTGCGGACTTGCACGACAATGCCCATCCGTTTGATTGATGCATTCAATGATACACTTGAGTGAGTTCCAAAGCGGCCACATATTGCCAGCTACGGATGAGCCTTGTGCCGTACGTACGAAGTCAAGAGCGACAAAATGGGGAGGATCGCATTCATTGCGGGTGGTGCTCACATCCACAGGAGAGCGTAACGCAGGCAGCACTCGATGCTGACTGATGGGAGGCTCATACATGCATTCATGGACCCACGACAGGCAGCAATCGTCTGTCAGATTCTCGCACACACAAGCGTCTCCGGTGTCCCGTCCCATCTGAGTGTCTTTGCGCTTGCGCGTCCATCCATACATGTGTCTGTCTGTCAGCCCCAACACAACACCCGACCCCTCTCCCATTCTACACTCCAGGCCAGGGCACATCACATGGATGCAAGTATCCACAGGAATGTATCATACATGTGAGTCTCGGTCGGTCGGCATTCCATTCGTGTCAAGTGAGCAACACGACGGCTCTGTCTCTCCATCTCCTCCCCACCACCATCACCGCATCTCTCCCCCTTAGTCGCCTGCTCGCGTCCCGGGCTGTCCGCCACATACCTCCACAGCCACATCACCATGCATCCCGCCAGGCCCGCAAGCACTGCAGCCAGCCCCTAATTTCTTGCACATGTGCCGGTTGGCCACGGGGTGAGCAGCCAGTGCGTTCCTTGGCGGCAGGGCCACGTGCGGCTGCTAGTGCGCGTGGCTCCTGTGCTGGCTCGCATGGGTGGGGGCGACTCGGTCACGAGCAATGGGGCTGGATACCTCGGAAGCCTGCACCAAAACGGTTCACACCAGACAGGACGGTGTGGATCGGCCAGGCAGGCAACACATACATACATGGATACATACTTACGTACCTGGTCGGGGGGGGGTGGCCAACAAGGGGACCGGGAAATAGCAGGGAAGTGACCCGCCGACACGCTCGGCAGGTACTGGCAGCCAACTGCATTGCACACACACGCAAAGCGAAAGAATGACATGCAGCCGGAACGGATCCCGTAAAGTATTTTGGCGCTCACCTCTCTCACACTTGCGAAGATGTGAATTCTCTCTCTCTCGTTGTCACTTCTCATGCCCCCCGTGGCCGTCTCTGATTGACAAAATACAGACATACATGTGCTTTTGTGTGGCAGGCACATACACGTACCCCTCGGTGTGCCTTGAGTTTCAGTCAGTGTGTGTGCCAAGCAGAAGGGCTGCACGCACAAAGTATACTGCCGCTTGCGGGCAGCCAACCAACTGATCAAATGAAACAAACATCGCGAACAAACAGTCAGCCATATACATGCATGCGTGTGTTTCTGTCTATCTGTCTGTCGGACCTCTTGTACTGGTTCTCGGTCCACGCTCGGTCCTTGACGGACTGTTCGCCCTGTCCCCAGCCCTCTCCATGACTCCCACCCTGCCGATTGCAAGCCGGCGTCACCAGCGTCTCCGCAGGGCCCAACGAAGGCGGGGAGTCCGAGGCTGTGGAACTACCGCCTTCCCCCTCCTCGGCCGGCACCACCAGCGTGTCCGTCGTAGCCAACGAGGGCAACCCAGCACCAGAGACTGTGGGCGGGGAGACTGGCCAGGGTGCGGGCGGACCGGCTTCAGTGGGTGTGAGCAGGGAGGTCGACCATACGCTCGACATCAAGCTGGGGGTGCACGCCGTGGCGATCGGGCGGGACTGAGCAGTGGGGTGGGGGGTGGCGGCCCTGCTGCTGATCTCCCTGCTGAAGTACATGAGCTGCCGCCAGTCCTTGCGGCCCGGCTGAGCGTCCAGCAGCCGCAGCTGGCTGGGGGCGGCCAGCCTGTCGTCATCGTCCACCCATGGCGTTGGTGAGATGGGCGGTGGGGACTGCTGCTGGAGCAGGTAGGCGCTTATGAGGTCGGGCGACGACACAACCCGGCTGACTATGTCGGCGCACAGCTCCATGACGGCCCCCTGCTGGTCCAGCACAACCGCCTCGATTAGATTCTCTTCACCCTGGAAGAAGTTGCCGGCCCCGCGCAGTGACGCTGAGCGGATGCGACAGGGAAAGGAAAGCGCACACGCACACGTACAGACGTGGTCATGGCGAGATCGTACACTTTCTCTCTCTCTCTCTCTCCGTGTGTGTGTGTGTGTGTTTGCGTGTGCCGACCTGCGATAGCTGCGATCCATGCCTCGGGGACGGCGGTGCTCGCTAGGCCCGTCGACAGATTCAACGACATCGTTTCGAATGGACCGGCGGCTGCATCCGCGCCGCCCATCGCCCGAAAGTCCAGCATGGCCAGGTGTGCCGCTGTTGTTGAGGCCACCTGCACAAAATGTACGGCATAGGTAGATGGATGGTTGTGGTTCTCTTCTCTCTCTCTCCCTCTCTCTCTCTCTCTCTGTGTGTGTGTGTGTGTGTGCGCGCGCGTCGTGTGCGGTCGTGGCGTCTGTACATGAATGGATCTTGTGAGGTTGTGCATCAGGACCTCGGGCAGGGTGTCAGTCTGGACATCCACACACCCACCCAGACGTACATACATACATACACGTCGTGTCACAGAAACTTACCATCGCATTTATCAGGTTGGATTTGATGCCGTAGCTCTCTTTGTGGGGCATCATCTTTTCCACTGCGGCCGACACGTCTACCCAGCAGCTGATGTTGCGGCAGGCGGAATCGACGGCCTCACGCAACTTCAGCTGCAGATGCCTGCACCCACATCCATGTCGGCAAATGAGTGAAAGCACTCATTGCCCCCTTAAGGCGTGACGACGTACCTGGCTAGATCAGTGGTCGATGACGGCCGGTCGTGCTTGGCGGCCGTTGCCCCTGTCGCATCTGTCTCTGATGACGGCTGGTCGTGGGCGATGATCGGTGCCTCGAAACTCTGATACCGAGCAAGTACACGAAATGACATACATGCCCGTATCCATGCCATGTGATCCATCTGCGTGCATACCGTATCAGGCGGCGGCTCCTCAGGTGTGAAGATCCTCCGCCTCGCCGCGTCGTAGTCCCTCTCGCGGTCCGCGAGCGGCCTCCCTGCTGAAGGCACTCTGCCCCGTGGCGCGTCCGGGTCCCGCCGCAGCAGAGAGACAGGCTGGCCTGGATGGAACGACGAGCAGACAGGACGATTTATTTCACCACACCATTGCCCAGCCCAGAGTGAGCGAGTGCTGCGCCGCTCACCGTTGATATGACCAGGGAGCGTTTTCTCGGTAGGATCGTTGGCCGTGTCCCTGCCCTTCCTGCCCTCTCGAGTGTCCCCCGTCAACTCCTCCCTCCTCCGTCCACTGTCGTTCTGGCCCCTCCAAGTGCCCTGGTAGCCCTTGTGTCTCTCGTGCATCTTGGCGGTGCGATGCTGGGGGTGATGATAGTGAGCTCCTCCACCTACAACATCACAGATATGTGTGCGCGTGTGTGTGGGTGGGTGGCTGATAGTTTGTGCTTTGATTTCTTCTGTCGCTTACCATACATGACACGGTTTGGTGGCCACGGGAAATGCCGCTGCTGCTGCTGCTGCTGATGGGGGAGGATCTGCGGCCGCCCGAATTCGAGGGGAGTCCTGGGCCCCGTGGGCACCTCCTGGATCCCTCTAGCCATCCTCACACCCGGGCCGCGATTGTGCGGTGGAGGAGGCCCTGGCTTCCGTGTGAGCGGTGGCGTGAGAATGCGTGGCATCGGGAATGGGGCAGGTGGAGGAGGGTACGGCGGCGGTGGCGGTGGCTGCAGCAGGGTGAGATGGTGAGGGCGCACCGAGCTCATCCTGTCGGCATGACCACCATGGCCGCCACGATCGACATCAGCACCTACTGACACTGACAGACAGAGAGGGAGAGACAAAGGCATCCATGTGTGTCAATGTGCCGTCTTTCCTTCCCTTCTGTGTGTGTGTGTGAGAGAGAGCTCACCTGGGGGCGGGTCGTCATTGTTTTCGTGCATGTGAGAGGCAGCAGCCGTCATAGGAAAACGGCGTCTGGGCCCCGGCGAGCCCCAGTCTTCATCTCCATCGATATCGGGCACCTCCCCGGTCTGCATGGCAGCACCCCAGGCCCTCGTCGGGTCAGGCCCGGAAACCTTGACCAGATAAGTCCTGGGCCCTGAACCGTCGTCGTTGTCGGCACGAGAAGAGTCCAAGGGGATGGAAGGCTCTCTGAACGGTTCGTAGGTCTCCAGCAGCCCTCTGCCGAGCCCACCACCGGGGCGTGGGCACCCATTGGTGCATTGTTCCATCCAGTCTGCCCCTTCTCCCTCTGCCTCCCACCCATTGTCGGGCTCTGGCTTCATCCTCGAGTCCTCGGAGTCACTGAACACCTTGCCGGGAGACGGGGAGGGCTCTACCAGCGGATCGAAAACACCTCCACCACTGTCCTCCGGCACAGGCGCTGTGACGGAGTTGGGCAAGCCATCAGGTGCATCAGGTTGCTCTGTTGGCTGGGGGTGGTGATAGGGGTGATCGAGTGACATCAATTGGGGAATGAATGGGGGGGGCGTGCATCCAGTGATTGAAGTTGGCACCCTGGTGCTGCTGCTGCTCAGACTTGGCAAAGGAAACCTCGCCGTGAATGGGAGAAGGGTCCTGCCGCTGCTGCTGATGCATGTGTGGGGGGTGGGGAGGGAGAGGGTACCACTGCGATTGAGGTACGCGAGCATCTGGATTCAGCACATGCATACAGATGGGTGCACAGGTGTGACCGGTCGTGGACGCGCGCGCGCGCGCGTGTGTGTGTGTGTCGTCCATCGAGTGCATCGGTGCTTACGCATTTGTGTGGGCAGTAGAGCCTTGCCCTGCTGCGTGGGCCCTCCTGGGAACGCGTAACCCATCCCCTGACTCTCCGACATAGACACGCCACTTGCACAACACAACACATCCCCCCACACACAATGAGGCAGAAAAAGACTCCTGTTCCATGCCTGTCCTTCTCTTGCGCGACTGACTGACCTGCATGCGGCACCAGGCCCGAAGGCACCCTCATATCTTCACTACCATTTGCAAGACCCCCCCGTCCCATCCCTGGCGGACCGCTGCTCGTATCAACACCCGCAGCTGTCATCCCTGGTGGCCCCGCGGCCGTTGCCGTCAGACCGACAGCGTGTGAAGCACCAGCCTCTTGCTTCGACGTCCACTGGGTCACCAACATGTCCTTCTCGAGATGCAGCCCGCCGAGCGCTTGCTGCTGCATGGCCCCCATAGACAGCATCCCTGCAGCATTAGCGGTAGATGGGGACGACGCAGCACCAGCAGCAAGGGCGGCTGGTGGTTGAGGTGGTGCTGATGGTACAGTGCGCTTGGTGACTTTTGCGGGTGCGTTGCTGATCTTCTTCCGTTTGGTCTGCTTGTTGGTGGACGAGATGGCGGGCGATGGTGCGAGTGCGGGTGGTAGGACGTGTGACGAGCTGTTGCTACTGGTCTGGATGGTGTTCTGGTCGCCCCCCGCGGCAAACTGACAGAATGATACACACGCACAAACAGGCAGGCAACCAGACAGGGCATTAATCGCATGGATTGGCAGGCAGGCAGGCAGGCAGGCAGGCAGATGAGTGCATGTGTGAGTGGGAGTACATACCATGTTCTTTGACTTGGGCATCGGTGGAGCGCCAGCATTCGACTCTCCACCCCTCCCTCCCTGCCGCACGCCACTCTCACCTGCATGCATGTGCATTGTGCATCAACTCGTCAACGCATGTACGCCTGTGTGTGTGTTCCTTTGTTGGTTCCATCTCTGCCTACCAGCCATCGTATCATTGGGCGGCAGCGGTGGGTACGGGTTCTGCTGGCGAAAAGTCATCGGCGCGTCGAAGGCGAGGGCCATTCTAGGCCCCTTGGGACCTTCTTGCATCCCTCTCATCAATTCTCTCATCAGTTGAGGCTCTCTGCTCCTCTCTGCCGGTCGGTTGTCAGCAGCAGCAGCTCCAGCGAACAAAGCAGATGCAAAGCTGATATTTTCGGGTTGGCTGCCATCTTGCAGGCCTCGCCATTACAACCAATTGAAGAGCGTCATGCTGCCTTGGTTTTCGCTAGCTTAGGGCATGGAGTGTCTGTTAAACGAAACGGCGAGGTGGTGCAAAGAAGTGGCGGAATGCAGTTTGGTTGTGATGGTGAGGCCTGCAAGATGGCAGCCAACACTAACATTTCAGCCTTTGCATCTGCTTTGTTCGCTGGAGCTGCTGTTGCTGACAACCACTTTGATGTGTCGCTTGTGCTTCTGCATCACAAGTGAGGCATCCAGACGACTGATCCGCACACAGCATCCATCGCCATCAGCGAGATCTTCAGGTGGGGAAGCCAGCGCCACTGCACTCATCCGTTTCCAGTCACATGATAAGACAAGGCACAGCACACGAGAGGTTTTTCTGCTGTGGTGTTCTGTCGTTCAGGAGCATTTGTACCGTTTCTGCGAGTGGGGAGACCCAAGTGGCATCCTTCTCCCCCTGCGCGAACCTTCACATCAGTGATTTCCCCTTCCCCCGTCCGCCCTTCTGATCCTCGGCATCTTCCCGCCTCGAGTGTGGCATCGACAGCGAGCAGTGTGGCTGATCAGGAAGTGGCTGTGATGGCGTCCAACGGGGCGACCGACGAAGGCGCCACCGCCGCCAACATCGTACCATGGCTCGAGCAACAGGTATGCAGAGGAGTGCATCGATGCGCTGAACATGCACTCACTCTGCCCCGTGTGTGGTGCTGATTGGCAGATCCTGACCACGTTGCGTGAGGACCTCAGCGTGTCTGAGGATGCGCTGACGTCGGCTGTGTCGGCGGGGCTGATCACCGAGGCCACCAGGCCCGAGTTCGGCGACTATCAGTCCAACGTCGCCCTCGTGCTGGCCAAAAAACTCAAAACGAAACCAAGGGACCTGGCGCAAAGGTGAGCACTCTGTCAACACAGCAGGAGCAATCGCATATTCATCCCTGCCGGTTGGGGCTTCAGGTTTTCCGACGCGTTGTATGGCCGTCCAGCCGTCCAGCAGGTGTTGGCGCCGATTGAGATTGCCGGGCCTGGGTGAGCAGAGAGAGAAGGGCAACGCACAGTACACTTGCTTTGCCTCTCACCGCTCGTGTGTCGTTGAAAAACGGTCAGTTTTGTCAATTTTCGTCTGAGCGACAGCTGGGTGTTGGGTGAGCTGTCGAGGATGCACCAAGACCGCGACGGACGACTCGCCATCCCAACGGTGAGCAGCAAACACGACAGTACAGCACAGCACAGCACAGCACAGCAGCAGGACGTCGAGTGACTTGCGCTTCTTGTGCAGGCGAGTCCCCGCGAGCGTGTGGTGATCGACTACTCGAGTCCCAACATCGCCAAGGAGATGCACGTGGGACACCTCAGATCAACCATCATCGGAGACGCACTCGCACGGTGAGAGAACGAGCCCACTGACCCACGCATCAACACACAGAAATGGACATTTGTGTGTGGCTCACGCAGAGTGTTGGACTTTCTCGGTCACGACGTGGTGCGTCTGAACCACGTGGGCGACTGGGGCACTCAGTTTGGAATGCTGATCAGCCAGCTCAAGGACGTGCAGCCCGACGTCATCGAGCAGGAGGGCGCCTCGGCCAGCAGCGTGGCCATCTCTGACCTGGTAGCCTTCTACAAAGAGGCCAAGAAGCGATTCGACGAAGACGAGGCCTTCCAGGAGCGAAGCAGAAATGAAGTCGTCAAGTGAGCGAGGGCACATGACCGGCCAATGTGGGTCGGTGCACCTGCTGTGTGCGTGTGTGTATGTATGTGTCAGGCTGCAGTCTGGCGACCCGGCATCTCTGAAGGCCTGGCGCATCCTCTGTGACATCAGCCGAAAGGTGAGTGGGCAGGGCAGCAGAGTCAGAGATGAGGGAGGGAGAAGGACGCACTCCACAGCTGATGCATGTGATCTGATTGGTCTTGCGGACGTGCTGTGCACGTATCGATCGATCGATCAGGAGTTTGGTGAGGTGTACGAGATGCTGGGCATCCAGGGGCTGGAGGAGAGGGGCGAGTCATTCTACAACCCATTCCTCAAGGGTAGGCGCATGCACGCACCTACACACCCACCACACTATACCACACGGCCACCCACCACGCATACATCGCCTTCCCCTGTGGCTATTTTCTCAGATGTGGTCAAGGAGTTGGAGGACAGGAAGCTTTCCGAGGAGTCTCAGGGGGCCAAGTGCGTCTTCCTGGACCCCAGGAACGAGGACGGCTCCTCGTCCGGCCGCCCACCCGTCATCGTGCAGAAGAGCGACGGAGGATTCATGTACTCGACCACCGACCTCGCCGCAATCAAACACAGGCAAGCTTTCCCATCCCGCACCCCTCCTGCACTCCACACACACATACATGTCTTTGCTGCCTGTTTGCGCATTGGGTTTCCCTTCCTCCCTCAGGGTGTGGACGGAGCGTGCGGATCGCGTGTTGTATGTGGTGGATCAGGGGCAGTCGTCCCACTTCAGCTCCGTCTTCGAGGTGGCCAAGAAGGCCGGATTCGCCAACGACAAAGCCAAGCTCACACACGTGCCGTTCGGACTCGTCCTGGGGGAGGACGGTGAGTCGATACAGACAGACCCATGCATAAATCGATGGACATAACTGTCTGTGTGGTGTGGTGATGATGTGGTGCAGGCAAGAAGTTCAAGACGCGTTCGGGCGACACGGTCAAGCTGCGTGATCTGCTCAACGAAGCGGTGCGTCTCGCCGACGAGGACCTGCAGGAGAGGCAGAAGGAGGACAGCGAGGCCCAGCCATGGCCCGACGAGGAAAGAACACGCACCGCTACCGTCATCGGTAAGCGACTCACCAGCAGCCGGCGCAGACGCTCACAGATCATCCGTCTGATTGCGTCTTTCGTGTGCTATGTGTGCTGTGTCCGTCAGGTTTGGCTAGCGTCAAGTACGCGGATTTGTCGATGAATCGTGAGTCCAACTACCAGTTCAGCTACAGCAAGATGCTGAGCAGGACGGGCAACACCGCCCCATACATGCTCTACGCCCTCGTCCGTATCAAGGGCATCAGAAGAAAGGCACAAGCCAACACACAACAACACGACAAGGACAAGGACATGGACAAGGACGCCCCCACCAGCACCACCACCGCCCTGGTGTTGACCTCCCCGGCCGAGAGCAGCCTGATGCGCCACCTGCTCAAGTTCCCGCGTGTGATCCAGGGCGTGGCGGACACGCTGTACCCCCACAAGCTGTGCGAGCACCTGTTTGAGCTGAGCCAGCTGTTCAACCAGTTCTACGAGACGTGCCCGGTGGTCAACGTGGAGGACGCGGCGGTGAGGGCGTCGCGTACGGCCATCTGTGAGGTGACGGAGCGGGTGCTGCAGGTGGGACTCGACCTGCTCGGCATACAGGAGGTCGAAAGGCTGTGAGTGAGTGAGTGAGTGATTGACAAGAAAGGGCGAGAGGGAGGGAGGGAGGGAGGGAGGGAGGGAAGGCATGCGTGTGTCCTGCGCGGTTGTGGATGTGTGTCCATGGATGGGTGGCTCAGACTGTCGGTGCTGCGGGGCGAGAAGACGTTCGTGCGAGTGTGTGCGTGTGTCTGTGTGTGTCTGTGCATGTGTGTGTTGGTTCGTTTCTGCGTTAAGTGCATGTTTGCCTGGTGGATTTTGAATCCGAATGCTTGTTCTTAAGCCTCATCACACAGATCTGCCAGTCCCTCGTCAGCAGTGTGCGCGAGGCGCCTTCGCAAGGCGCCTTCGCAAGGCGCCTTCGTCAGTGCAAACATGAGTGAATCGAAGCCGCACAAGGCAAACCATATGATGCACACCAAATGATGCCCTTTTTGTCTTCCTCCTCCTTTCGACATCTGCGTTGCGAGCTTGGCGGTCACAGGAGGCACTGCGAATGGATGCAGCGGAGCATCTGGAGGACCTGCCTGCAGAGATCCTAGATGCTCTTCTCTCATATCTGCCGGCAGAGAGCTGCGCGGCCCTGCGGTCCACATCCGATGGCCGGGCGGGGTGCTGCCTCATCGACGAGGCATTTCTCGTTCGCCGCCTCAACAAGATCATCAAACAACACAACCTGGAGTCCGTTCTCGCGTATAAACATGGAAGCCAGATGGGCCGGAAGATATGCATTGCATTGGCTGTGTGTGTGTTGTCGTGTGCAGGTACGAGAGGGAGCATCGGCGTGTCATAACCTCTGCCATGTCGCGGCGCACCCGAAGGCGTCGCCGGCGGATTTCGTGTTTGCCGAGGGTGGACTACCTGCTGCGGCTGGTCTTCATCTTTGAGAATGGCGGTGACTGGGGCGCGGTGCGGCCAATGATCTTGCTGGCGTATCACCACGGCTGGCTGAAAGTGCTGCCTCTCATGCTGTCGCCCATCGACGTGCAGGAAGCCGACACAAAAGGTGCGTTCATACAGCAACGAGCACGCTGGCTGGCCGCTCACAAAGAAATCGTCATCGCACGTATATCTATCTGTGTGTCTGTATGTATGTTTGTTTTTGATTCAGCCACGTATCTGTCCCGGTGTGAGGCCGTGCGGCAGTATTCTTTGTTCGGACATCGCCTGAGGCAAACGGCGAATGGCTGGCCGTGTTGTCCCGACCTGATGCTGCTGGAAGGACTAGCCAGAGAGCTCAGGCCCACAAGATAGTACGCACACACATACGCACCCACCGCAAATGTTGGTCGTCTGTACGCCCCTGATGTGTGTGTGTGTGTGTGTGTGTGTTCAGTTCATTGAGGCTGCGCGATTCCCTGACCAGTGCGTTCAAAACATCGGACCCCCGCGACCCCGTCAGCACGTGTAAGCATCGCGACAGACAACATCCGTCATTGCTCGTGTGTCCGGCATGTGCCTGTGGCCATCCGGCTGCAGGTTGCTATTCCACAACTGGCCGTACGTTCCGCGAACTCATCATCTTCAGGTTCGTCCACAGTGACACCAGCCGGCAGCAATGTCGCCGTCTGCATGTCCCCCTTTCTGTTGCGGCCCTCTTCCTCTCCCTGTGTTATGTATGTGTGTGTATCAGGATGCAGCAGTGGAGCGACCGGCGGGATACGTTTCAGCGCCCCTTGTGGCAGGAGGCCCGTGTGTGCGTCGCCACCACCGAGTGCACCTGGACAGACGACAGCCTCTCGCTCAAGGAGAGGTTCACCAGAGCCGAGGCACTGCTCAAGGGCGACAACGGTGCGCGCACACGCAGGCTGATACATACCATGGGAGCCATTCGGCTCTGCACAAGCCAACCCATGTGGAAGCGTGTGTGTTGTTGGGTTGTTTGTTGTGCTGTATTTATGTATCAGTGTACGGGTGCCGCACGGTGGATGTGGAGAACCACCTCACCCGGACCCGGCTGGTCATCTTCGCTGGCGACCAGGTGGCGGACCGGTTTGCCGTACACCTCAGGGTCACCAAGAACTTCAGCGACAGCATCACGCTCGAGCTGCTCACCACCGAAGCAACTGGAAGTGAGTGAAGACAGACACCCGCATACCTCTGCGTGTGTGTTGTGAGTGAGTGGTTGATGGATCTGTGATCGGTCTGTCAGTCCCCAGTTACCGATTGAAGACGTTATCGGACTTCGAGGGCACCGCGCCCATCGTGCGCCAGAAAATGGGCAAGGACGGTGCCCTCTTCTTCGGCAAACCTCTGTAGAGAGATAGAGACCTCATGTGAGCTAACACGACACAAAAGCTGCGACAAATGGGTTCTTATTGCTTTGCCGTTTTCAGTCTTCCGAGTGCGAATACGAGTAGACCGTAGCAGCCTCAGTAGAACCGCGAGCCTGCATGGTGCGTTCTCTGACGCATGATTAATTGATTGATGATGCTTAAGGGTCGCCATCGACCGGCCGACATGATGATGGACACTTTATGAATTCGTTCAACTTTATCCGGTGCACCTCAGCTTCCTCTGCTGCTCTTCGAACGTCGCTCCCTGCGGCTGAGATCTGCCGCACCAACATCGTAGGCTATACGCGGCCGCTTTAGTGTATCATTGGACGCAAGTCCCGGCCGGTTTACTTGATGGATGTGGTGCAGTGCAAGTCTGCTCAACTGCGAGTCACAAATGCAGCACCCAAAGCCCCAAGCAAATCCGGACAGTGGGACGGCGCGTGTTGCGTCTGGGGGAGCCGATCTGATATAAGCTCGCAGATCTGGTGCTCCCTGAAACCGCTGCTGCTGGTGCTTGGCCGCAATGGTGAGGAGAAAAGGCCGATGCGAATGAATTTAGGATCTTGGTTCATTCGTTCAGGCTCGTGAAGTCACTGCACCAGAGCAGGCCCGCCTCGATGGCCTGCGTTACATCGGTCGGCCGGAGGGCGCCGGCAGCTACCGCCCTGTGCCGACGAGCAGGAGCGCATCGGGCCACCCCATCCCTGTCGGCCGGCAGCTGCTCGCAGACGATGACGACGATGAAAATGAGGTCATAAAACGCACGGCATCGACAGACAGACAGACAGACAGACAGATGAATGAATGCATCATGTGTTGTGTGTTGTGTGTTGTTGTGTCGTGTGTGTGTGCATCCCATGACCTGCAGGTGTTGGATGAGCGTGAGCGTCTGAAGCGTCTGTGGGTTGAGCGGCTCAACTACGTGTGGTACAAGGTGCAGGCCGTGCTGTGGGTGGCCGCCAGCATATACGTCATCTACTACACCAACCTCTTCCGCGTCATGTGGGAATGCCCAAACGTCAAAAGGCAAGAAACAACACAACACACGCAGAGAGAGGCCAGACCATGCATGGGTCATGGGCGTTGTGCGGGTGTGGTGCAGGGTGTTTCTCTACTTGGGTTTCGGGTGTTTGGGTTTCTGCATCTGCTGCCTCTTCTACATCGCTGTGGTGATCCCGTGGCAACGGGACGATATGATCGCTGCCGATGAAGAACTCGATAAGAAGTTCGCGGAAGGAGAGTCCACGTGTGATTGGCCGGTGGGACTTGCCTTCCTGTGTTGTGTGTGACAGGGTCATTCCAGTGATGACCTGCATCGGGCTGGCAGCAGCGGTTTTGTAAGCCAATCGAATGATGGGCATGCAATGCATGGATACAATAAGCTGGCTCCGTGTACGTATGTGTGTAGCTTTATGGTCGCCTTGTGGCCCGTGTGGGGGTGGCTCACGCCTGTCATTCAAGTGAGTGAGCGTCGAGGCACAAGACCGGGATGCATGCCGTCGGCTTCAATGATACTGCCTGTCAATGAATGTGTGTGTGTCGTGCAGGTGTGTTTGTTCATGGGTTACCTCCACTCTGGCCACTTCCTGCCGGGCGGCTTCATCGGCTCCATTCTCATGTTCGTCATCTTCTTCGGGGTATGAAACGATGGCCACACATTGCTTTCAGCGTCGTGTGTGTCCTCCACTGTGTGCTTTTCAGGCGTTTTTCACAAGCGCTCTGATACCCCATGGCGGCTTGGCGCACGATCCGTCACGTTGTGCCCTCACTGTGAGTGCTACTCGTGCAGTGGGCGCCTGACTCGTAGCAGTGCACGGGAGTAGGGGTGGCGGGTTCTCTCGGGATTGTCGATATATACTACAGACGGACGGGGAGAGAAGCCGCTGACCGACCCTTGCTTGCATGTGTACCCGTTGTGTAAAGGACCTTGAGGCATCATCCATGTCGTCGATACGCACCATGACAAACCTCCCCACAAAAAACATGCTGACTGCCGATCTTGGCCGATACACTGGCAGCCGCGGCCAGTTTGCTCACTCTTCCTTCGCCCCCCAAGTGGATGAAGTAGTACTTCCCTCACCCTCATTGCCCCATCAGGGACGTCAAACCCGTTCACGGTGTCCCCGATGGGGGCTTCTCCTCCTCTCTTGATCTCCTTGGCCCTCCTCCTGCTGAGCAATGCGTCCCCGATCCCGCAAAGGAGGCGTCATGGCATTCCATACATCGAAGGTGCACACAGCCATCGAGCATGAGCGCATGTTGCTTACATGGATGTGGTCTCTCATACATTGCGATTTGTTGTGTGTTCGCCGAAGGGACGTGGAAGGGTCAGCTGCAGGCGCCATTCGCGCAGTCTGAGAGAGGCGGCAACATCAGCTGCATCTACGGCCTGTCCGACTCATCATCCGCCCCCGTGACCTTCATGACCATCCCGCAGCATTTCACAGTCAACGGGTCAGACTACACCATCTCTTGGCCGCCCTTGCCTTCCCACGCCATCACGCTCACCGATACTTCGACGAACAAGCCACTCACTTATCAATGGCCGCGAAGGAAGGCACGGCAGGCTGAGGTAATCAACTTCTTTGACCACACGCTCTTCTACCAAATCAACGAGACCGGCAGCCCGTTGTCCTACCGCGCCTGTGAGAACTTTCACTTCAACGTGAGACGTGACGCCAGTGTCAGGCTGATTGTCCGTCAGAAGTACCGCTGGCGGCAGCTGGTGGAGGAGGGAAAAGTGACACTTGAGCGAGCACACGAAGCCCAGCATTGCAGCTTTCTGTGCGATGACGAGGAGCCTGAGCTGGACTGTGTCGACAGTCACGTGATCAATAGCTCTGGCCTCACACTGGTGTCGCACCAAGACGTCTATGTGCAGGTATCTAGCCGCATTGCACATCGCTGCAAAGGATCAGACCTCCTTGCTCGTGTCTCTTCTTCTAGGGTGAATTCGAATGCTCCGGCGGCTCGTGTCTCGAGATTCAGCGAGACGTCAAGCATGATATCCAGCACTCCCACGAGGGCCCTCATGGCGAGCGTCTGTATCGCCACTGCCTGCGAAATGAAGACGAGCCTTACCAGTGCACGCCCTGCATGCAAGTAGGGATCAGAAAACGCTCAGGCATCAAATGAGAGATCAGACCATATCTACTTGCAGGGTGATGGTATCTGCGACTGCGGTTGCTTCCTCTCAATATTTGGCTGGGATCACGGTGATTGCCTGCCGCCGGGGTCCATGGAGGGTGCCCTCCGCTATATCAACGAGACACTTAATGATTCAAACGTGACCAAAGAGATGCAGCGGGTGGTGGGAGGCATAAGAAGACGACTCAATCGACGGGAGCTGGAGATGTGTGAGAAGGAGAACAAGGGATCATGTACTCCCTGTCAGCAGGTGAGGAAGCGCCTATGCTTACTTGTGCATTCCCATATTCATATGGTGTGTGCACTGTGCATGCAGGAAGCATTCCTCGTTAAAGAACACGGGGAGATCCTTGACGAGGGTCTCCACCTGGGCTTTGATTGGGGGCCCCTATCGTGTAATGCGCAGGTCGAATTCGGTGCCTTGACAGGCTCCTTTGATTGTCAGCTTGCCATCACTCTGCCCTCATTCCTCACATCTGAGGAGACATTCTTTTTCTACTTCTACCGCGGCCTGCTGCCAAACGTACTGGCCTTATTCGGTGTTCCCAGCGAGGAGTTCGACACGTTCTACAGGTAAGGAAGTATCTATGCGGGCATCTCTCCATCGGATATCTCTAGCTTTACCCTACCATCAGCTTCACCGTCGGTTTCGATATCACATTTGAGATGAACATTGTGGGACAGGTCTACCTTCAAGCCGAGATCTGGTTTGACTGGGGAGCGTGGGATGACGCCGTCAAGCTCACCTGAGAATGCTGGAAGAAGAACCCAAGCGCTTCTGCGACATCCTGAAAGAGTGGGGAGAGGACAAAGAGGAAGTTGGCAAATGGATGTCGATGTGTACGAGCGATCGGGGCCTGAACGTCTGGCTGCGGCAGGTCGACGAGCAGCCCCTCATTGACCACGACCATCCGACGTGTGTCTCCGAGATGAACCTGACGCCTGAGTACACCCCAGCATGCGGAAAGAATTACCGACTGCGTGACATGCCCTCTGTCTATCACCGCAGCCTGAACAATGCCACAAACAGCACAGTGGCCGAGCAGATCCTCAAAGCTCACAGGCGGACGACAAGGCGGGGGACAAGCGACATGAAAGACACGACGCAAACACGCCACGTTCCACCGACCTGCTCGGACGCGGAGACACGAACAAACTTCGATCAGCTTAGGCGGCAGCGAGATCCCAAGAGTCCACCCACACAAGTGACGCCTCGATACCTACATCACCACCACAAGAGCGCTCGGCGTCGACTATTTGAGCCCGTAACAACAACGCTCTATGCTGTCTACAGGGCGCTGAAATACACGCTGGATCTCGACATATGTCTCAAGTATGCAAGGCTGAGCCAAGACATAGCTCTCACACCCTCTCTTAATGCAAGAGTATCCATTCATCGTTCAGACTTGAATGTCCCGAGACGGACTCCATCGCCGAGCGGGGGGCTCTCGAGCTGGTGGCCAGCATACAACTACGATGGGATAAATTGATCCGAGAGGGAACAGAAGTTTCGGAGAAATCTGCGCAGCTGGCAAAAGACCTCCTCGACTACCTGCCGTTCCTAAACGACGATCCTATTACGACCCTCTGGGACTTGCCTGTCGTCTGTTTCGATCCTCTCCCTCCTGCACCCCTCTGGCCCTTCTATTTCTGGGGGTGCAGACAGAGGGCATCGGACGCACAGAAACAGCTCGGAGAAAAAGGATGCACTGATGCAGGCTGCTACTGCATGGGGCCAGTGCAAAACCTTGGAGGGGCTGCCATTAGGCTGACCAATCGAGACCTTAATGGGTACAGAGAGACTGAAGACACATAAGGAATGGTGTAATCACAACATGTGGTTACGGCCCTCTGCAGCTGTCTCGTCCACCCCGACTCCTGTGAAGAGTGCGACTGCAAGACGAGCGAGTTTCGAGTGACCGGCGGTGGCACCGCTTGGTATAACTGGAAGTTCGACAGCCGAAAGAAAGCAGAGAATCCGAGGGCAAACGAGTGATGACACGTAGATTCAGGGTATGACGGGTGGTGTCCAGAGGGCGCAAGCACTCCAGGCAGCTGGTTCGAATGGTGGCGGTGGTGGTTGCCCTGCCAGTGCAACAACCTCGGCTACTTCATTAACTGGAGTGATTTCCGGTGCGAGCAGGACAAGAATTACTACAAGTACACATGGGAGTCGATCAATACATGCCGCTGCTTCTACGATGGCGTGACGGATCCATGCTTCGACTGGACCTGGCGGGATCCTTACGACGTGGAGGCGATTGCCAGTACGGATGTCACCAAGAAACTCTCCATGTAAGGGCGGATACAAAAAGCATTGAGACACAATACGGGAAAGAGCCGGTGTTTGATTGCAGTTGCAAGGTGAACAAAGACGACGACTGCTATGGCAGCTACAAATACTTTATCTTCCAAGACGATAGCAGCTGGATGGACCCCGACAAGAACAAAATCTACTTCGACTTTTGCGAACGCAACAACAAAGTGCCAGATGATTGCCGGGTCGCGGCTGGTGTCCTAGCGGCCATGACCGTACTGGGTGCTGGACAGATGGAACCTGCAGGTGCCGCGACGGCTATCAGACCGAGTATTCTATCTCGGGGCGATACAATTGGGTGACGGGACTGCCGAGCTGTGCCGGCCGCGTCAGCTCATACGATGACACTTGCCAGGAACTTCCACAGTATACAATAACACGGACCGGATGCCGCTGCCAGGATCGAGACACATGCAGTCAGGGTTCTGGATACAGTTGGTGCGCGGCTGCATATGAGAGGGGGAGAGAGAGCGAGGGAGGAAGGAAACCGGATGTTGCTGATTGCAAAAGGTATCGTCGTTTGTGTACATGCAGGTGTTGGGTGGAATCGGCAGATTGTGGAAAGTACGGCTTCTACAAGGGACAAAGATGCTCTTGTCTGTACTCGGGTGGCTACGCATGGGACAAATGCAAGTCTCTCAGCAGCTCAACGGTGGCGTCTCCAGATGACCCCAAACCCTGCAACGAGATACCAATTCCTGCGACAGCAATCGATCCCCCAGTATCGCCCCCTTCGACGCTCCCCCCAGGCCATGTCCAGCCGACAACGCAGCCTGCACCTACCACACAAGCCCCGGCGCCTCTGCCAAGCTACACAGACCGGGGATGTGACTGCCAGCAGGGGACAATCGAGGTTGCTCAATGGATCGATCCGACATCGGACGAGACCAAAGAAATGACCATGTAAGTGAATCAGGTGGAGAAAAGCAAAGAGACTTCACTATGGTGGTGCTGTTGTGCCTACTTGCAGCTGCACTGTGGATGAGACGAAGGACTGTGAGGCTGCGTACCGCTTCGTCTTCCAGGACCCAATCAACCCAGACCTGTCTGTTTCCTTCATGTGGGACTTCGTGAATGGCGATGCGAGCTGCCTCAAGCGTGGATGGTGCCATACAGGCACAAGTTGCGACAAGTACACGCAGCAGTGCCACTGTGATGATCCGGACCTCGGCCCACTCACCACGATGGCTCCCACAATGGCGGGCCCAACAGCGGCACCCGAAGCGTGTGGCCCTGACGCTGGCCCAATGGGGTGCTCTGAAGGCTGCTGTGGCCTTGACGGCTTCTGTCATCCACCGGAGGATCCTATCTGCCTTCACGGTAAATGTCTGCCGGAGGAAAGCGCTCCTACGGGACCAAACAGAGACATGAACTCGTGCATCAAGCCGTGGAGCGCGCGCGAATGCAGCAATTCGTACTGTGCTGACGGCTTCTACTGCATTGACGAGACGAAGCTATGCGCACGGATGGAGAAGAATGCAACTTCAGCAGTGAACTGCAATCCTTACCGGAGCCGCAATTACTGGTACGCGTGCCCTGCCTTTGCCATTTGGTGCAACCCTGACCCGTGTCCCAACGGCTTCTGCTGCAACAATGGGCAGTGCTTTGACTCGGGGTACTACAAGTGCAAGGAGAGCAACGGCTGCAGCGACGAGTACTCGGCAGAAGACGTGGATTGCGATTCTTCGGAGGGTGAAGAGTTGTTCGATTGGGAGGCGGCTGTGTGTCCTGCGTGGCTGATTACGACAGAAGCGCCCTCGACAACGACAACAACTACCACGACAACGACAAAAAAACCTCTCCCTGGTCCCCCGGTCGAGCTTCCTATCGACCCGTCTCTATCGCCACCAGTGGAAGTAGAGCCCCCACTACCGGACCCTGAGGATGCAACAATAAGCTCGACGCCACCAGCCACACTGCCTCCACCCCCGGATGAGGTCGAGTGGGAGACATTGTTTCCTGACAACCAAGAGACATGGAAGAATGAGACAGAAGTGGTCCCAGATGAGTGCCAGGACACACAAGTCATGGAGGGAGGCAGTCTGGACTGTGACTCCAGTGAAAAGGGCCTGTTTGTGCGTCTGGCTCCCGCCTCCACAGTGGGCTCAGTGAAGGGGTCTCGACATCCGGATCAGATATATGGCAGCATGGGAAGCAACTTTGTGGACGGCGGGGAAGGGACTGACCTCATCGATGGAGGCGGCGGCGACGACACGCTCATGGGTAAGCCAAGGCTCACATCACAGAGGCGTCCGTGTTGTGTGTCGCTCACCACCCCTTTTCGGCTCGGCACGATGATGGATGGGGTCTTCTCGGCTCTTTTGTGTGCAGGCGGTGGAGGTACCGACTTGTTTGTGATGAGCTCTAATCCAGGCAACGCGACCGTTTTGGATTTCGAGATCGGCAGAGACCGAATCGACCTTCGACGCTTTGCAGCGGTGACGTCATTCGAGTCCGTGGAGATTCTCGAGGGCAGCGCTATCATCTATATCGATTCAACGCATCAAATGGTGCTGAAGAACGTGCAGCCCAGCGACATCACCCCCGACGCGTTCTTCTTCGCCATCGCTTCCGACACCGATAGTACCTCCCCGTCCCCGGTTGCTTCATCCACTGCACCTGCGACAGAGGCACCACCCGACACTACCCCGCCCGGGGAAGGAGACACCGACGTCACCACCCAAGACGAGGCTACGAAATCGGAGCCCTGTGGGGCATTCGAGTTTGGCAGGTCCTGCTTCACTGGATACATCATCATCACCGTCGCAGCTATGGTGCTGATCGCCGCTGTGGGTGTGGCCATCTATTGCTGCTGCCGCCTCACCGGCAAGGTGCAGCCTGCGCGAGGGCCGGCGGCGGCGAGGGCGGCGTGGCAGGGCTAGCATGCACGGCCGTGTCAGTCTTCGCATTCTGCTCTGACCGTGTGCGCTACTGATCTGGACCTGTGTGTTACTGCTGTGGACGTATAGTCTTCTCTTGGCTTTCGGCCTGTGTGCCAATTGCTGCTCTGTCTGGCCTGTTTGCTGGTGCCTGTGTGCTGTCACAGCTTTGTGGTACTGCTCTCTGTGTGTGTGATTTGCCTTTCTGGGCCTGCGTGTATGATGATGATGGGCATTCTGTCCATAGGTAGCTATAGATACGTAGGGCCGTTCGAGACCGAGTGAGGGATGGGAAGATCACGAAGCGACGAGACATCATAGGCGAAATAGAACACGTTTCAGCCCACGAGATGTCAATCCATCATCCATCAGGGATGTCCGTATGTACCAATAAACCGCACACATACACACACATATCAGTGACTAACAAATATGAACAGAAGCACTCACTCATATATCCATCGGGGCCGTAGAGGTTTCCTACTGCCCGCCTCTAACAGCGTAGTCTGTCTGTATTTTTGTGCATGTATGTATGGTACACGGAAAGTGACACGTACACAAGTGGGTGGCTGCACACCGACATGGTGGGCATTGGCTGCACGGAGAGGAAGGAAGGAAGGCCCCTGTCTACCTGCAGCCATGTCCACCATCGCTAGCTATGGGCTGAACTGCAGCCTCTCCATGAGAGCCCCGATGGACGGTGTCTTGGATATCTTGCCCTGCTCGTAGTCGGGGGGGAAATACACCATCTGACACATGAGCACATGCATGGACACCCGCAGAAACACACAGGAGCTGACCCAATTCACGTGTGCGTGTCTGGCTGCCTGGCTGACCTCTGAGAGTTCGTTGACGGCAGGTGTGTTTGCGAAGTCCTCGATGTATGCGTTGCTGAATGTCGACGACAGCACCTCCTCACTCAGCTGGCAGAAACGGCCAAACGTGCGGGCAAGCGGGAACCGCTGACCTGCATCAAACAGCCAACCACGGCACACACAGATGTGAGCACATGAAGGAGTAAGGAAAGCCCTCTCGCTGTGCTCACCCACCCGGTTGGAATTTGTCGCTGAGCCTCTCGACCGTCTTCTTGAGGGCGCGATCGATCACCAACCGAAAGACAGACACAAACTGGGGGCTGAAGGGACAAAGAGGCGCACAGACGTGCATCCGCCTGATTTGGTGCTTTGTGTGTTTTGTTTGCTGGGTGCATCTATCTATCTGCAGTCCTGACCTTTCCAGGAAGTCTCGTGTTTCAGACAGGAATTGCGCCACGAGGCGGCAGCCGTCAGGCGATAGCCGCCTGGCGAGCAAGGACACCAGAGAGAGGGGAATGTGATGTGATATACGCATCGCATTTCTTCCTTCTATCTCTTCCCTCCCTTGTGCCACCCTCACTCACTCGTTGTCGCACAGGTCCTGCACGTTGTCCGGCAGGGCGGTGTTGACAGCCAACCCGTCATTGATGCTGAGTGAGCCAATCAACCAACCAATCGGCCGACAACACAGTCCGATCTCCATGTGTCAGTCAGTCAATGTGCGTACACTCACAGTTCCACGTCAGCCTTGCTGGCAATGTCTTTGAGGAGAGTGAGCAGCTCCTCCAGGCTCAGCTCATGCTGCGGCTGCAGCTCGCCCGCACACGCCTCAACCGCACGAGTCACACCCTTGACGATCACACGAAGACCCTCAGCCTCCTGCACACACAAGCAGCAACGTACACACATTGGAATGGCGATCGTGTTGCTCGGTGGGCCATTGGATGGCTGCCAGCAGCTGTACCTGTATGTATCTGGTTGACGAGAGGAATGCGTAGTTTTCGTCGTGTGCCTTCTCCTGCTCGGTGCCCGCCCGCCGGTCGTCGCCAAACATCTGCTTGCCGATAATGTTGATCTCCAACCTGGGTGTTTTCACAGGGCAATCAGAGGAACAGCAGAGCACTCTCTGTGGACGGACGACTGGGCCGTTCGTTGTACTCACTCACTCACCTGTGCAGGAGCAGCAGCAGGTGGAGGGCGTAGAGGGAGCTCACTGCACGAGATAGACCTGACAGATCGACGGGTGAGTGAATCACAACCAACTTATCCATCCACAGAGGCGTGCGTGCAGCTGTTGCTTTGCTCACACTGGATCTTGATCTGGTTGAAGTAGGCGCTCTTCTGGTCGGGCGACAACTGCATTGCATCACACGACACATACATGTAGAGTCAGGCCTTCGTGATGGCCCCCTCCCGACTTCTGCACCCACCCACCTGATGGCTGTTGTCGCGCAGCGTCTGTGTGAGGTCGTTGATCTCGAACAGCTCGAACAGTTTGGTCCGGAGGTTCTCGAGGTTCTTCTTGACCGTCATGTCGGACACCTTCTGGTTCCTCTGGTAGTGAAGCGTCATCCTACCACACACACAAGGCAGGGTGCGATGGTTGGTCCCTTGCATCCAAAGCGCAGTCCATCAATTCATCCATCCATTCATCGCGCTCACTTCCATTCGGCGGACCGTCCCAGCGATATCTGCCGCAGCAGATCATTCTTCAGGTGGTCGCTGTTCAGCAACTTAAAGAGAGAGAGAGAAACAGAGATCACTCAACCACTTTCGCTTCGCACCAAAGTGGCTCACATCGTCGAGGCTTGCCCTGGCCCTTCGGTAGAGCTTCCTCCCGATATAAATGGCCCCTCCAACCACCACAGCACCGACGATGATCTTCCGCCGATGCTTCTTGGCCCAATTCCACGCGTTGCTCAGCATCATGTGGGCAGATCTGCGGTCACCTCTGGCTTGTGGGACCGCGGCTGCCTCAGTTTTCCCCTCAAGTTCAGCAGCTTCAGCTCGCAGGCTCCCTCTCGGATTCCGTGAAACCGGTTTTTTTCTCCACCAGGTCAAATTCCTTTCCTCTCTCTCCTCCTGGCAGCTTGTCTTGTCAAGGTTCACCATTCGTATCGATCCGTTGTCATCCATCTTTCCCCGCTGGGTATCAAATCTTCTGACTCTCTCACCGCCGGGAGGAGAGGCAATCCAGTCTGAAGGCCGCTGCTGAACGACCGCGTCAATCAACCACCCACCCACCACGCGACCATGACAGACACAACGATGCGGCGAGAGAGGCCCGTCCATCATTCACTGAGCTCTGACCCTCCCGCTTCCCACTCGGAGGCTCCCCAGAGCCCCAGACAGCTCCGGAGGGCGACAAGACGGCACAGAAGCATCCTTCACAACCTCCACATGAGCCGCTCAGCCGCTGTCTGTTGTCTGGCGGCAGTTTTGGTGCTGTCATCGTCCGCCTGGCGTGTCGGTCTGTTTGCGTCGGCTCAAGGCATGACGGAGGACGGCGTAAGTGTGGACAGAGCATCGATATCGCTGACGCTTCGGGCGGGAGAGACCAAGACCGAGACCCTACGGCTGAGCGCACTTCAGCGCACCAGGATCTTGTTCCGCAGTGAGCCGGACATCGATGAGGTGGTGCTTCCGGACTCCAGGAGACTACAGCAGGCAGAAACCAACGGTAAGTGCAGACGTACCCAAGCTTTGATGCTTTGCTTCTCCCTGACCTGCATGTGTTGAAACCGGTGTGGTGTGTCTTCTCTCTGCGTGGCGTGGCATGCGTCAGATCCCCCTCTGTCTGGCTCGACCCTCGCCTCTGACGCCATCCATACCCGCGAGCGCATGCACAGTGCACGCGTCACACGCGAGGAGCATGGCGAGGAGCTCATCCCCGCGCCCGTCCGGCCAGCCGAGGAGGCGAGGCGGCGGCTGGACGACACAGACGTCGGCAGCGAGAGGCTGCGCATGGTGGTGGACGTGCGGGAGCTGCAGGACAACAGAGATGCCGACGGGCAGGAGCTCTTCCCCACCGACAGGGTCATTGTCGGCTGGCGGTGCGACGACGACAGTGCTGACACGGATGAGGGCGGTGGCCGGAGGAGACTGACGATGAAGCGCCGCCTGCTGTCCGACCACATAGCCACTCCCCGCTACCTTGCTGGTCGCGATGAGGGTGAGTCGACTGAGCCGTTGATCAGGGCCAAGGCGACGGCCCCGCCTGCTGGTGGTGGGACGGCCGTCAACCATTTGAGGCTGGAGGGTGTGTGCGAGATCGACCTCGTGCAGCTCAGAGACAAAACGCTGCACGGCATGCAGGAGTTCTTCAAGGCATTCGCCGACGGAGACCCCGACAACAAAATCGCCATGCTGGTGAGGGAGGGAGGAAGGGATTGACAAACCAAAGTGACCTCATCCAGGCATGTAATCGGCGTGTACGTGTGTGAATGCGTTCAGAGTCCGGACCTGACGCTGCGTCTGCAGCAGGGCGGCGACAGCAGCCGTGAGTGGGTGCTGCCCGACGACCCCTACTTCCCTCTGCAGTGGAGTCTGGAGGCCTGCCCGCCCGTGGCGTCGGGTCTGAGGGGCGGCAGTCGGTGCGAGCGGGACCCCACGGTGGACATGGACCTGCCGCAAGCATGGGCCGTCGACAGGGGCGACAATGACATCACGGTGGCTGTGCTCGACACGGGTGTCAACTACCGCCATCCCGACCTGTTCGGCACCATGTGGACCAACCAGAAGGAGCTCGACGGCGTCCAGGGGGTCGACGATGACAACAATGGTCAGTCAGTAGGGGGGCAGGGCAGGGCAGCGAAGGGCAGCTAAGGGAAGGTGCATGCATTGCATTGCATTGTGTCTGTCTGTCTGTCCGTGTGTGTGTTCAGGCTATGTCGATGACTTTGTTGGCTACAACTTCTTCGACAAGGTGAGGACAGCACATCAACACACACGTCGGTCCTCATTACATACATTACCTTGTCTGCATCTGTGGGTGCCATGCCATGTCTGTGTGTCCGTTGATTGCAGAACAACAATCCGATGGACGACAACGGCCACGGCAGCCACGTGAGCGGCGTCATCGCCGCGCGAACCAACAACCGCAGAGGCATCGCCGGCATCTCCAAAACCGCCAAAATCATGGCGCTTAAAGTTCTCGGCGGAGAGGGAGCGGTGAGTCACTAGCTAGCACACCAACCACACGGACCCAGACAATGCACTTGTAAGGAACGGGGCTATGTGTGTGTGTTTAGGGCAACTTGTCGGGTCACCTGCGTGCTGTCGAGTACGCGGTCGACAACGGCGCGCGCGTCATCAACAACTCGCTGGGGAGCCACCCGGGTCTGTCCCCCACCGACCGCCAGAGGCTGCGCGACCTCATGAAGCCCGCCATGATCTACGCCCTCGACACTGTCTTCATCACCGCTGCGGTAAGTAGGAATTAAACAAACACCAGCCACAGGAAATTGTGTGTGTGTGTGTGTGTGTGTTGTTCGTCAGGGCAACAGCGGTTTGAACATCTCGGTGTACCCCGAGTACCCCGCGTCTCTCATCGGCGACTGGACCCTCACTATCGGTATGCATGGCATGCACCACAACACGCGACGCAAACCGCTGGGCACACATGTGTATCTTCGTCTTGCGTGTCTCGTGTCGCCTGTGTGCAGCATCGTACGGTTTGGACGGGAAGCTGAGTCCCTTCTCTAACTACGGCGCCACCAATGTGCACGTCGCAGGTACGCACATCCCACACACAGGGACTCGGCACTCACTTACACTGATCCATCCATCCATCTATGTATCCATCTCTCTCTGTCTGTCTGTCAGCTCCTGGTGGCAATATCACCTCCTCGTACACGGGGGAGAACTACGTGTCGGCCTCGGGCACCTCCATGGCGTGTCCCATGGCCAGCGGCGTCGCCGCACTCGTCCTCGCGCAGAACCCTTCCCTCCAGCCGCAGCAGGTGGTTGACATCCTCGTCCAGTCCGCCAGGCCCGACCCCACTCTTCAGGACAGAACCATCTCTGGTGGGTGCAAGGACACACCGGGCAATAAATGTGTGTGTGGGAGGGGACACTGACTCATTTCTGTGTGTGTGGGTTGTGTGTGCCCTATAGGGGGTCGTCTGAACGCTTACCGTGCTATGCTGATCGAGCCCCACTTCTTCTTCGCCCCCTCTGACCAGGACCTGGTCATCACACCCGTCGCACCACAAACACTCGACATCAAACTCGACGGTAAGCAAGCAAAGCAAAGCAAAGCACAGTACAGCACAGCATGAATGAGGACCTCAATCCATCCGATCGATGAACCTGATTCTCTGTCCCTCTTTCTGTCAGCTCGCCGGCTGAAGGCTGGTGTGCACAAGGGTCGGCTAGAGGGCAAGTGGTACCGGGAGATCTTTGGCCAGCTCCGAGAGTTCAAGCTCGACATCCCCATCGAGATGACCGTCGAGGGCGACGGCAACGCCCCCGAAATCCTGCAAGACGCCACCCCACCCTCCGGCCCCGGCAGCCCCTCATACGTCCCACCACCCCCACCTCCCGAGCTCCCCGGCGAGGCGGGATTCACACAGCCTGACGCGCGAGGCGGCACTCCTAGCACGTCTGCATCAGGCAGCGGTACCGGTGGCGGCACGCCCGAGGTGGTGTTTGAGGAGTCGGCGGGGAGCATCTTCTGGGTCTCCAATGAGTGTCCGGCTGACGTGAGGATCGCCGTGCGGTACTATGACACGAGGCCGGGCGAGAGCAGCGGTGAGTGGAAGTCGCTGTGTTGGGGCACCGCGCGGGCGGGAGGCGAGGGAACCGCGCCCAAGTACCTCCTGCGGGACGCAAGGGGCGAGATCCGATCCACACGGGAAGACTGGTCAGTGAGGAGAGGGAGGGAGAGCTCTGCAACGACGTTCGTTCCTCTGGACACATACCATACACACACATCTGTCTACCTTGATCTTTCGTTGGTCAGGTATTTCTATGCCGAGACACCCGGTGGCGACATCAAGTGGCAGGGTGCCGGCGACTCTCGCACGGTCTGCACGGGGGAGCTGCTCAACCTCCGCAAGGGCCGCGTAGACCCCGATGGCGTCCACTACGCCGTGCTCTCCTGCCCAGACAGCACCCTCGGAGGCCGGGCAGTCGGCACCGACACCGGCACCACAGCGCCACTTGGACCCTCTCCTTCTGTCGAGTACCCCTCCCCAGCCAGTGTCAGCGGTTCCACCACAAGCACCTCGGGGCGCGATGGTGACGATCTCAATCTCAATGCGGCGGCCACTATCCTGCCACCCGTTGAGGGGAAGGAGGATGGTTCACCGTTGATCCTGGGCGGCGACGGGCCCTTCTCGTCGGTCAACTGGCTGGACCAGCAGCTGGTGGCCGAGTTCGCTCACATCGACGGCCAGCCCACGAGAAGAAGGCGACTGGTCGCCGACACGCAGCTGAGCCTGCAGCAGCTGACGGCGTCCGTCTCATCGCTCTTCGAGCAGATTGCCCACGACCATGATGACGCCGACGCTGACTCTGCTGATGTGCCGCACGTGGATATGTCTGACGCGCCACGGAACGCCTCACCGGTTCGCAGTGGCGGCGTGGCAGGGCTCCGGCCCTATTTCGATCTCGAGTGGCTCTCATCGGCTGCTGCTGCTACTGAGCCGATTGGGAAGGAGGAGATCCTGCAGTATGTGATGGCGTGAGTGAGGCAATGTGCGAGTGGCGCGGGGGTGCGCTGAGCGGGGTGTGCATAGGGGCAGGGGTGTAGGTACCTAGGGTGGATGGCGAGGGGACGGGAGGGGAGGGTCAGAATCGATGTATAGTGCCGGCCTGTTTGCCTGCCTGCCGGCGGGTCAACAAACCTACTTGCTTACTTACCTTCCCACCTGTTGAGTTGAGAGAGAGGAGAGCTGCAGAGAGAATGAAATGAAGGGTGGGTACACTTACTGATGAATTGCCTGCTCACTTACCGCTTCTGAGTGTGTGTGCTGTGCTGTGCTGCCGGGGTGACATGAAGAGAAGCGAGACAGACCCAGAAAGGCAGACGGGAAGGAATGAGGCAGGGTGGGTGGGTGGGCCTTGTGGCAGAACGAATGAGGTCAATAGTGATTGGCGGGTGCAGGCTTGCACACCTGTGTGTGTATGAGTATGTGTGTGTGTGGATGGATGGATGGATGATGAGTTCCTTTTCTTTCTTATCTCCGAGACAGAGAGAGAGACAGACAGACACTCACAGCTTCCTTGGCTTGGTTCTTTCCCTCCATCCTCCTCCACCACCACCACGCAACGCAACGCAATGCAGTGCCCGGCTTGCTTGTTTTCTCGTGTTGTCTTTTTCTTTTTGAACCGACTGACTGACTATTCATCTCTATTTCTCTGTTTCTCCTCCTTGTGGCTGTGGTGTGGTGTGCTGTGCTGTGCTGTGGTGCGTGGGTGCAGACATGCACACACACACACACAAAGACACACACACACACATACGTACATATTTGTGAATGGTGCGGCTGGTGGGTCCGCACCATACACACGTACCTATACACCACTTTGGCACATGCCGTGTGTCGGGTTGTGTGTTGTGTTGTGTGTGCTGCATGCCATGGTGTGTGCTGGGTGTAGGTTTTGCCCTGCTGCCTCGGCTCCTTCTTGCTCCTCTTTACGTACATACGGGCTATGAATGCGATCGGTACATACAAGATATCGGTACAGACATACATATACATAACATACGTAATGCGTACATCGGTCCATCCGTTGATTGATTGCTACGGTCGCGATTTCTTCCCTCTTTTTCTCCTGTGTATGCGTCCACTCCATAGCCCTCCATCCACCCACTCATCCACCTGTCCACTTACACACATGACCGACGCCACGTATCGTATGGACAGCGAGCGAGTCCACTCGTTTTTCTACTTGTCTACTGTCTGTCTGTCCGTGTGGGTGTGTGAATGCCACCCACGGTATGCGTCCTTCCGTACGTCTGCTGTGACTGTATGTATGTCTCTCTGCGGTCTGTCCGTCTGGACTGCTCGCCCGCTTTTTGCGTCAAGATGACAGCTCAGAAGAGAAGAGAACACAAGAGAAGAGGGGTTTTTGAATTTTCCCAGGGCGGGGCGGGGCGAGCGGGCATTCATCCGATGAGCATGCATCGTCGGTTGGTGCGTGTGTTGGTCTGTCTATCTGTCTGCCGAACGGCAGCGACTCGAAGGACTGATGATTGGATGATTGGATGGATGGGTGGACTGACTGACATTGGGTGGCGATCCTTATCACTTTACTGGTCTGCCTGCCTGCCTGCCTGCCTGCGCACATTCCGGCCTCGTTTCCCTTCCCACAATCGCATAGATATCGAAGCATGGCTCCCTCCCCTCCACAGATGAATGACCTGAAGCTACCTACCTACTCACTTAGGACAGGCAGTCGTTGGCGTGTGCATTGTTTGCCTCATTGCATGTGTGAGTGCTGGGGAGAGTTTGCTCACTGTTTGTGTGTTACGGAAGCATATTAGTGATGGTGTGGTGTGGTGTGGTGGATCAGCTGAGACAGGAAAGACCGAAGACAGACTCTTTAGTGTGCATGCGTGTGTGTCACCGGTGCGTGGTACGTTTAGATAGAGACCAGAACGGGCATCCGGGCATGGCATGGCACGCAACCTGACTGACACTGGTGCGTGCGACAAGTAAGTGAGTGTTGAACCATTGGCAACCAGCGAATTGCGAATTATTGCGATAGATACGAACACACACACACACACATGCGGAGCGCATCGGTCCACGCACACACACGCACACACAGAGACGATGCCATCCATGCCATCCATTCCGGACGATCATCACGGACACACTCGCTTAAAATACCAAGCGACCGAGGTATGCTCTCGTGTAGTCCCGACACAGACGCCACGGCCCCCGCTGCGACACAAATCAGAGGCCCTTAAAGACCCAGCCCACTCAATCCGATCGACACAACACAACCTCTCACACCATGTCGTGACCCACTTAGGCGCGAACCACTGAGCGATCCACTTCCGTCCCCTAACTCTCCACTTCCGTCCCCTAACTCGCCAGTGCGTACGTCAGCTGAGTGACACGGCAGGTCTCGAAGAGGAACTGGCGAGACATGCACCTGTCATGGTGCACCCCGCCAGTGCCCCCAACGGACCCTCACGGTTCACCCAGCCAAAGGTCCGTCCACGCATTGCAACACACACAAGAGAGAGCTGGACAGCTACACCACGCCACACCACACCACATCACATCATCAATCCATCGCCATCGATGTCACCCAAAGGGGCTGGTCTTTACACCAGGGAACGACCCAGGAGGCTTGCTCTGGCCACCCAATGAGCCCGGTGGTGCGGTGCTCGCCCCTGGATGATGCTGCTGCTGCTGCTGCTGTTGGCTGGGCGGAGGCGTGTGTTGTGTGGATGGGTGTGGGTGTTGGGTGGCCAGGGGGCTTGCTGCCAGCGGTGGCTGGTTCATGCGGGTGGGAGGGGGCGTCACGAACCCTGCTGGCAGAGATGAGAGCGCCGGGGGCTGTACCGGAGCTGGCACATCTGCATGGAGACCACTCAGGACACCAATTGACAAAGCGTCCGATTCTTCTACCTGTCCGTGTTGGTGTAACTACACTACCTACCTGTTGGTTTGGTGGCCAATGCAGCGGGGGCGAGTACGTCGACATATCGGCTCCTGACGTTGCCGCCCGCGCCGCTCTGCTTGAGCAGAGGGTTGCCGACTCCCGACGGGCCCGCCATGCCCATGCCTGTGGGTGGTGGAGGAGGCGGCGCGGGGGGCGCCTTGTCCGCTGCCTCGGGCTCGCTCTCCTCAGGCCGCGCTGACAGACAGACAAGCAAAGGTTGGGAGAGGTGTGATGTGTGTGTACGGGGGAGGAGGGGAGGGGAGGTGTGGTGGCTCACATCTGTCGACCCATCTCTTCTTGACTTCGTCGTAGTAGAATGTGTTCTCCACCCCGATCTGCCGCTCCTCCGGCTGCAAGGCCTTCTTGATGCTACCCCAAACGTCCCCTAGCAACGTCTGCTGCTGCTGCTGGCCGTTGCCCATGGTGGGCTGAGTGGAGGGCGGTGATGACATCACCCGGCCGACAGACATGCCACCGCCACGGCTGCCGCTGCCGCCGGCAGGAGGGGGGCTCGACATGGCATCTGACACACATGCACACACCATTGATATGGCAGCCTGCATGTCTGCCTGCCTGTCTCTCACCTCTGAGCAGCCCGGCTTGCTGCACCGATGGCGGCTGCATGGTCGATCCAGCGCTTGATGGGAGTGGCACAGGCGGTGGAGAGGATGGCTGGTAGGGCAGGGGGGATGCCGAGGCCTGGCTGGAGGGATAGGACGGGTGTTCCCCTCCCCCCTCTGTCTTGCCCGTGAAGGTCGACGCGATGCCCTTGATGCCGCCCCACAGCGAGCTCAGGGCCTGGCCAACCTCGCCTGTCGCCTTCACTGACAGACCCGCGAGTGCCCCGCGGCCCTGACAGACAGACAGACAGACAGACAGACAAACGGATGGACGCACTCTCTCCTGGCCTGGTGCGGGTGAGTTGGGTGTTTGTTAGCTGACCTTTTTGGCGCCGCCCGATTCTTTGATGCGCATTTCGAGTTCTCTGAGGTACGTCCTGAAGCCCTCGGAGAAGTGCGACGCCGGCACGGTGCGTGCGAAGGCCTGTGTGAAGGCCACGTACTTGGCCGCCTGCTCAGAAAGGGCATGGAGCAAGATTGACTCGATGTTCGCTAAGCTGACGCAGCAAGTCATGCCATGCCGACCTGACCTGCTCGTATTGGCCCATGTCGCAGAGGAGCTGTGCGTACGAGAGCTTGAAGGGCTGGATGGACGGCAGGCAGAACTGCAGGCAAATTGGCCAAGGGAGAAGATAACACACACACGCAAGGCGGACAGGACAGGTGAAGGCGAGAACATGTGTGTGTGTTGTGCACCCACACCACAGACCTGTGGGTTTTGGTATCTCATGGAGTATTCGAGTATCTCGGTTAGCTGCAGACACGACGGCTCCAGCAACCGGTAGAAATTCTTGGTCTGACGGTGGTCGATGCCTGTAAGTAAACAAGTGACACACACCTCTAGCCATCCATCCAGCCATCCAAGCGCTGTGCGTGACGTGTTGTGGACTGACCGAGCAGCGCCAGCCTGGCCGCAAGGCTGTCCACCGACTCGGGTGTGATGCCGCCCAACAGGTAACACACGTGGGACGCAGGCGTGTCCTTAATGAATGATCACAACACACACACGGACGGAGGGAGGGAGGGACACATTTGGCTGGTCAACGTCTGTCTGTCTGTCTGCATGTATGTATGTGTCTTTGTAGGTGTGTGTAGCGACCTGCAGGTGCATTTCGATGAAGTCGCCCAGCTTTGCGAGGAATCGCTGGGCGGCCTTGTGGTTGGGCAGCAGGTGACGACACACCAAAGCCACCTGCGCCGGCCACGACGCTAACACTCCTGAATGAATGCACAACCAACATGACACCAAGACACATACAAACACCACATCCAGAGGCCCCTATTCTCACATGGCATGGAAGCTGGGCGGTCTTCCTACCTACCTTGCGAGATGGACACGTCCCTCTGTGCCAGCAGCAGGTAGAATGTCCTCAGCGCCCTCGCCTGCCGCTCAGCCTCCTTCACGCCCTCGCCATCCGCACCACCGCCACCCGGGGCGGCCGGCAGCTGCCCCATATTCTCGGCGAACTGCGCCACACACCCCTTGAAGGCCTCCAAACCGCTGGGGCTCACCGTCGACGTCACCAAGGCGTGCGCCCACAGACCCCGCTCGAGAGCAAACCGCACCGACTCATCCACGTCGTGCTGTGACAGAAATGTGACGTACTGGGCCACTTCTTTCGCCTCCTTCTCCAGGGGAACCGGCTGGTGTGGCTGCGTGTCGGCGGGCTGACTGGGCGGGGTGGACGGTGGGCGGGATGGGTGTGATGCGAATGCGGGTGACTCCTGCAGGCGCATGAGGAAGTCGCAGACCTGCTCCTTGCACTCCTTGGCGTAGAGCTGCCCCTTGGCCAGCACCAGGGCTCGCAGCAGCTGCAGCAGCGGCTCACGTTGGATGGCCCTCCTCTCCCCACTCGCCCACCCACCCTCGATCTCCTTGGTCACGAACTCCACCAAACGCTGCGACAGTTGCTCGTCGGAATGCCCCAGAGGGCCTGGGAAGGCCAGGACGCTCTCTGCCCACCGTCTGTGGGACGGGCTGGGCGAAGTCGGGAGGATGTCGACCAGCCGGCGTATCTCGCACGGCCCCGGCATCGTGACGGTCTGGAACTTGTGGGTCGGCTTCGTGGGGATGATCGTCACCACCTTGCCGCCAAACCCAAACGCAAACACCGCACAGTTGGGTCGACCCGACACCCTCTGCGACGGCGACAAACCTCCCCCAGCTGCTGTCGACGCCGGCCCAGGGCCAACGGCCAGACTGACCGGCACTTGTGGTGGGGCCACCGGCTGGGATGGTGCCTGTGGCGCGAATGGTCCCTGAGTGGCCGCCGGGATGGGTGTGTGGGGGCTCGGGCGAGGCGGGGGCGTGGTGGTGCTGGCCGGGACGGGCGCCACACCCGGCGAGGCAACGGGAGACGCCCCTGTCGACGGCCGGAACGGACTCACGATGGGTGCGGGCCTCCCCGGTGTGGACGCTCCGGCGGTGGATGGCGCCTGCTGCGCGAAGGCCGGTGGCGAGATGGACCGTGAGAAGGCCGATGTTGTGGTGGTGGTGGTGGTGGTGCTCGATGGGGCCGTGTCGAGAGACGTGTTGGACGTCGGCGGGGATGTCACGAAGGGGTTGACCGGTGGCTGCACGGCCACAGAAGGCGCTGGCGCTGCACCCTCCTCGTGTGCGCCCCTCACGGCAATACCGGGACCGTTATGCAGCTGTATGGGGGATGGCACGGGGGATGTCTGGTGTCGGTGCTGTTGCCGCTGTTGCGGTGGTGGGGGTGACTGGAACGAGAAGGGCTGCTGCTGTTGTTGCTGTTGGTGTTGTTGTTGGTGTTGGGCGGGTGAGGGGTGGACGGGGGCAGGGGAGTGGGGGAACAGCGACGGACGCTCACTCGATGGCGCCGTCAGGGATGACAAACCCAGAGCCGGAGAGGCAGCCGATGAAGAATCTGATGTCAGAAACACATACCACGAACGGTCAACCGAAGCTCCTCCTTTGTCCCTTTCCTTCGCACCCTCCCTCCTCTCTCACCATGGAATCCCGGTCTGCATGGATCAGTGGCGAACACACTGTCGGTGGCATCGTCATCACCGAACAGCTGTGCCGTGTTGGTCTTGACGCCGCCCTGCACACCCACATATGGCTGCGGCACTGCCCCTGCCGGACCGCCTGCCGACGGCGGGGCTGTGGAAGATGGAAACGTGCTCCCCGCTGATGGTGCCTGCTGCTGCTGCTGTTGCTGCTGCTGTTGTTGTTGCTGGGGCTGTGCGAGGGCCCTCATGAATGAGTCGTCGTCAGCTGGACCGAAGAGGTCATCGCGCAGAGGGGCGGCCTTGGGGGGATGGAAGTCCGCTGGCGCTTGGGGATCACTCATCGGGACAGATGGATTAAGACCGCCTGGTCTGACCACAACCGAACAGCATAGACGCACAGGCGCGGGAAAAGGACTGGGCGAGGACGGTGGTCGATCTGTCTGCTCTGCGCTACCCCCCCTGCTGCCCATCCCCTCACTCACCTGGCCTGGCGTCAATGGAACACCTTCGTCTCAGCCGCAACTGACTGCTCCACGTGTGCCACTTGAAGATCCTCAAAGAGATCTTTGGAAGCTTGCTATGCTGCGCTCCCTCGATGCGCGATATATCGCGTCCTCCTGTCCTTCTTCCCCCCTCGCGAGCCAAGCTCGCCCACTGGAAGCTCGCACAGCGACGCGATGGGAGGTGAAATGCTGAAGGGAAAGGCAATGTGATCTGTGGGAGTCCATCGAAGAGAAGAAGCGATACCGTAAGTAAAAGAGCTGGAACAAAGACGGACAGGCAGCACAGGTCTTCTGTGCGTGTGGCAGGTGTGTGCACACGCCAGGCATGCCAATCAATCATCCCGAGTGAGAAGATGTCCATTCGTCGCTTCGCCTACCTTCTGAGCGCCGCCAGCGCTGAGTCTGCCTCTGCAGTGGCAGCAGCTCGCACCCAACATGTCAGAAGGCGGCGGCGGCCGAGGAAGATCAGGAGAACGCAGGCCGATAGTGCCCCTGCACCGGCTGCTGATGAAGCTTCTGCTGATGCACCTGTTGGCATGGATGACCCCTTGCGGACGCCGCCAAGTGTCTTGAGCCTCATGCGGACCGCACAGAGGCTCGTCAGAGGTAATGAAAGAAAGGGGAGGGAAGGCATGTACTGTATGCGAGTTTCGGTGTATTGTGTGTGCTGACGGATGTAGATCGGGTTCCAGTGGACAGTGAGGATTGGGCCCGCTTCAGCTTCAATGCCCAGAAGTGCGCCGACCTCTTCCCTCGCCCGTCGGCCGAACGGCTCATCCGCCTCTGCACTCACGCCAACGTCCTCGACGCATCTTTCTTCGACGTGCTCGCCCGCCGCCTCGTGGACCTCGACAGCGAGGGCGAAGCCGACTCTTCTCCGCCGACGAAGAGAGACGCTCTGGTGTCCGCCAGCCGCGTGCTGCGCGACTTTGCGCTTTTGAATCACTCGTCTGGTCCGCTGCTGGCTCTCTGGGAGGGGGCACTAGCGCGGTATATCGCGGCCGAGTCGGGCGAGGGCGGCAGTAGGAGTGGCAACGGCGGGAAGATGACGTTCTCGGACCTCTTGAGTGTGTTGAGTGCGGCTGTGGTGCTGGATGAGAGGAGGGTGGATGTTGTAGGGCTTCAAGGACAGGCGGTCGGGCTGCTGGCTGATGCGGCACCCCAGGCAATGGCAATGTTGTTGCAAGGTGAGGTGAGCACCTGCACACACCTATGTGGTATGTGAGGGTATGGGACCTGCCGGCTTGAATGTGTGTCCGGCACGTGCTGTCTGTCTGTCTGGCTGTGTCGTGGACAGCATCATCCGCATCGTCTGGAAACCAAGCCCCCCGTCTATCGCGCCTCTGCCCGCAGCTGGCCATAGTGTGGCCCGTGTCATGCATCACGGAGAAGAGGCTGGCGGTTACGCAACCGACCTCACCCCCACCCTCAGACCCAAACACAGAGCCAGCACCCCCACCAGCTGCCTTGAGTGATCGGCAGTCGGTCCAGCTGGCGCAGGTCTTCACCCATTTCCGGACATGGCTGGCGCAGGCTGCCGACGTCATGAGCACAGGTCAGGTGTGTGTATGCTGTATGTCTGAGTACGCGGGGAACATTCATTTCACTCAACTTGAGTATACGTATGATGGGATGGCCTTCAGGTGATTTGTCGCTCAAGAAAGACGCTGTCCGCGCCGTGGGTCTGTCGATCGCAGGCATGGAGGCCATCCAGCACCACCTGGCAGACCCCCTTTTCACGGCCCTCGAGCCGTTCAGTCACGAGCTCTCACGGCCCCTCACCCACCTCCAGTCAACCTTCTGGCCGCTTCTTATCAAACAGTCACTCGATGACGAGTCCTTGGCCCTGCTGCAACACCTGGCTCAAGCATACTTGACGGAAGGTGTATGCGTGGCGCTTGTGTGGCAGAAGTGGCGTGAGGCTGTGAGGAAGGTGCTTGAGGACCGAGGGGAGGAGCGAGAGGGGTTGCCTGAAGCAAAGGAAGAAATAGCGGCGTTGAAGGGGCGGCTTGTTGGGAGGTACATGGGCCTGAAGGCGATTGAAGGCCTTGTCAAGGATGCGTGTGACCCGCAAAGCGTGAATGTGCGGCACATAGCCCTTCCGCCAGACGGTGGTAAGTACTATGACTGCCATGAGTCAGTCTCTCTTCGGCTGTGTGTGTAATGTCCTCCTCCCGTTTGTTCAGGTGATCGCCCCACCCGCCCCGACATCGCCCGGGCCGCGCAGCTAGAATCGGAGCTGCCCTGGCTGGCGGCACAGCTGGAGGCCCTGCAAAGCTACGCTCAAAGCAGCGAGCCCAACCCCGCAGACGAAATCACAGAAAGGGGGCGAAAGCGGTTCCTTCAGCAGGTCAATCGCGGCTTCACACAGGCAGGGACGGTGGAAGGGAGCCGTGACGAGAAGGCCAAGTACATGCGGAAGGCTGATGGTGAGGTGCTGGGGGAGGTGGTAGCTGTGGAGCGAGAGATGAGGCGCGCGAGGATCCGTGTTGAGCACAACAACGGCAGTAGCAAGGAGTACTGGCTCGACGTCGCCCACTTCTCCCGAGACGAGGAAGCCAAGGTCAGCTCACGCATTCCCCCCCTTCAACCAGCCACATTCGTGTCGTGTGTCTCTGCGACATCCTTGTCACTCATCCATCCTTACATCTGGCCGGGCAGGTCACCGGGATGCTGATCGAGAAGCAGGAAAGCCAAGACGCCTCCTTGCCGATCGTCGTCGCCTCCCCGAGACACGTGTGCCTCAGCCCGTCATACCTCCTCGAGCACAACTACCGCACGCCCTATGTCGGTCCCCTGGACGACGGCTGTCCTCAGACGGGCGACTACGTGACGGGCCTGGTGTCTTCCATCTCTGCCGATCGCACACGCGCGCACGTCGAGATGAATGGGCTGACTGGGGTGGGCTGGTGCATCGTCCCACGAGGGTCTGGGAGCGCCAAAAGGGACGAGGTCGGTCCGCCAGCTGCATGCATGGGCTGTCGGTCGGTCGTTCAGACAGGCCAGGCCCCTATTGCTTGTGGTGTGTGTATGTGTGTGGCAGGTCCAGGCTGCGCTGGAGTCCCTGTGCAAGAGCAAGGAGAAGGCCACCTTCCGCGTGCTGTCCATCGCCCCCTCCTCGCTGAAGCTGTGGCTGACCACTCCCCCAGACCAGCTCGACAGGACACAGCTGCAGTATCGCCTGCTGCTGGCAATGGACACCAGCGGTGACACAGCAGATGATGCTGAAGGTGAGGGCCGAGAAATGTTGGGCGAGGTGGTGGCTGTGGACCGCAAGGCGTCGCGGGCGAAGATCCGCGTTCGCCTTGGAGGCGGCCGGAGTAAGGACTACTCGCTCGACTTCTTCGGCTCCCATCGATACGCGGTCAGCCCATGCACTGCACTGCACTTACTCCACTCCCGGCTGTATGGATGCACTCGCCAAGAGCTTTCATCCACAGTGGGCTATGCTTGTGTGGGTCAGGTCCGCAGGCTGCTGCTTCAGAAGTGCCGAGCAAAAGATGCCTCCCTGCCGGTCGTCATCACCTCCCGGAAACGCGTGACCATCAGCCGATCGTACCTCGCTGCCTTGGTGCAAGGAGGAGATCGGCAAGGAACAGCGGCTGAGGATGAGTGACACGTATGCAGAGGCGGGTGGCTGTCGTGTTGTCCATTCCGTCTGACTCCCTAGATCTTTGCAATGGACAGTCATGCGCACCACAGACGATGTCCAAACACCCGTTCTGCAAAGGAAAAATCCCCTTAAGCTCGCAGTGGTTGATGTGGAGCGTGCGTGGGTGACTCCTGTTGCTGTCGTTCGTTTGATTGTGGTGAAAGACATGGGACTTGGCCGTCAGGTCGCCTAGGATATTCCGTAAAACTGCTCTCTCTCTTGACGGGGGGAGAAAGACGTGTTTTGGGGAGGTGTAGATTTTTATCCTTTTACTTATCGCTTCCTGCCGACCCAAGTAGCCCAGCGGCATCTATCTCATACCGGCGCCATGGAGGCCTCTGCCGAAGGTGAGACCGAACCCATCCCGAACTTGTCACCATCTCACTCACACGGACAGGGCTGCACGCATCTGCCCCTTTGGCGTGCGATGCCTTTCATCGCGTCCCTGGTGCGTCGCTGTGTGCGGTTTGTGTCTCGTGTGTGTCATGCAGTCAAGCGGGAGGAGCAGCCCAACGTGCAGAGCAACGGCGAGGCCGCACCAGCCGAACCCGCCGCAGAGGGCGCGCCAGGTCAGAGGAAGCGATGCTCGCCTTTTATTCGGCCAGTGATGACATTCGCTGTGCGTTTCTCAGGTGCGGCGGCTGTCAATGGTGCTGTGAACGGTGGGGGGGATGGAAGGGGGATGGCCGCCGAAGGGAGATTTGTGAAAGATGCGCCGCTCTCCGCTCCGTACGTGGTGTGGTTTAGGCACTGGCGAGATGCCCTCTGACGACACCATAGCTGACAAGATTCGCGAGATCATGAAGGGCACCTCACTCGAGCAACTCAGCATCAAGAAAATACGGTTGGTGCGCAACCGCTATCCCGTAGTACCGAATCGCAGACAGAGGTCGGTCACCGTTTTGTGTTAATGTGTTTGTGTGTGGTGTGGTGTGGTGTGTGGACGGCCAGTGAGCAGTTGGGCGATTTCTTCCACGTGGACATGACGGCCAAGAAGGCCTGGATCAAGACCACCGTCGACCGCGTCCTCGAGGAAATGGCTGAAGACGACGACGAAAACGAGTGCGTGAGTGACGCATGCCATGGCTTGTGACACCCTGCGCACAGCACAGATGTGTGTGTGTGCGTGGTGTCCGTCCGTCCATCGTTGGTTGGATCATTCATTCAGCGACCAAGAGGACGGCGGTGCCAACGACGAGACCTCCAAGGACGAGGGGGCCAAGAAACCCAACGGCAAGTCACGACCCAAGGGCGGCAAAGGTGGGTAGAGTAGCACACTCGTAGCTAAGCTGCCACCCATCCCTCGACATCCATCCAATCATCTGTCTGTCTATCTGTCTGTCTGTCTGTCTGTCTGTCTGTCAGGCAAGAAGAATCGCGGTCGCGGTGAGACGGACAACGAGAAGGCGGAGGACGAGCCCGAGGACGATGAGATGGAGGGCGACGAGGACCAGCCCAAGAAGAAAAGCGGCGGCAAGGCCGGCGGCAAAAGGACTCAAAAGAAAAAACGAGCCAAGGCCAAGGCCGACGCCGAAGACGAGGAAGAGGAAGAGGTCAGTGGTCAGTGCAGTGCAGTGGAGTGCGTCGGTGTCAGGAGCGGGGCGGGGCGGGGGGCATGGCATGCATGGCATGTGTCGTGTCCATGTGTGTCATCCATCTGCTTTGTCCACGTTGTGTGTGCTGTGCAGGAGGATGATGGGGAGGGTGGGAAGCGCCGTAAGGTACGCGGCTGGGGGCGGTGCGGTACGGTGCCGTGTGTGGGTGTGGTGTTTCGTACCTTCCTTCTTTACTTTTTCTTTCTCTGCTGTGTATCTGTGTGTAGTTGGGTTCGAGTCGATACGCCAGTGGTTCGAGTCGCAATAAGAGCAGCAAGGGCAAATCCAAGAAGGACAACTCCATGTACCAGGGACGAGGTAGGCAGGCCATGAGGCTATTGGACGGACACGGAGGGAGGGAGGGAGGGAGGCGCACACACATGGGATTGGGGTGAGGGAGGGGAATGGATGGACACAGGAGCCCTTGTGTGTGTGTGGCATGGCATGGCGTGCGATGGCATGTGTGTATGTGTGCAGGTCGGATGATGAACTATCTGTCAGACGCGTTGCAGAACTTCATGTCGCCCGACAAAACCGCACGCTTCACCGAGCAGGAGGTCAACACACACACACACACAATCTTGACATCACTGTGTCGCTGTGTGTGTGTGTGTGTGTGTGTGCAGATAGTTGACAAGATCCTCGAGTATGTGACGGATAACAACCTGCTGATCCCGACCGAGAAGAAGAAGGGCGGCGGCAGCTCCGGGACGGCTGGGGAGGCCGCCGAGGGGGAGGCTGACAAGGCCATGGCCGCTGAGGAGGGGCAGGGCGAACACACAGACCTTAGCAAAGCACTCGCCAAAAAGTGAGCCGAAAGAACAGGCAGGGAGGGAAAAGGGAGGGAGGGAGGGAGGGGTGAGATGAATGAACGTCCACCTGACATACATGACACGTGGTGTGCTGTCATGTATACTGCAGGGGTCAGTACTTCAAGGTTGACGAGACCTTAAAGCCCCTCTTCAAGAAGAGCAAGGAGAAGGTAAGGTCAGCGACACACACACCAGACACACGGCATCACACACATCCGCCCACTTTGTATCCTATCCTATCCGTGTGTGTGGCCATTCATGTGTCTTTGTTTGGTGCCTGCAGTGTTTCAAGAGTGCGATTCTGAACACCCTCAAGACCACCCGCGCCATCAAACGATACCGCGTCTACGGACTCGACAGTAAGACACACACACGACACACACACACACAGGTGCAGCATAGCATGCCTGTGGCCCATCCATTCATCCATCCCGTGTCCGTCTGTCTGTCTGTCTGTGTGTGTGTCAGACTTGGACGATGAGGACGAGTAATTGCCGCCCGCCCTTGATTGGCCAGCCGGCAGGCAGGCAGCCTGTAGCATAGCATCCCACCCCTCCCCCACCCACCAACGTAGCTAGACAGATGACTGGCTGGCTGGAGACGCATCGACTCGACGATGGCACCCATGTGATCCGATCCACGTGTGCACACATGATGGATGTGATGGCAATTAAGCCCCCACCCACCCCACCACCACTCACTCACTCGCCGACCTGCAGTACATGTGTGTGTACGTCATGTCTGTGTCGCTGCCGCCTCTTCTATGGCTGCTTGCTCTGCTTTTATCACACACACATATCGTGCTGCGCTGCGGGCATGTGTGCATGCGTGTGGGCTTGTGTGAGTGAGTGAGTGAGTGTACTGCTATGCCATGCCATGCCAGCCATGAGAGGGGCCAGGCCGCCGGTAGCTGTAGTGACTGACTGACAAGAGACGTCTCGTCTGTGGTGGATAAAGGGAGGAGGGAGGAACTGAGGGACGAAGGGAGGGAAAGATGCGCCCATGCCCGTGTGCGTGAGTGCAGTTGTGTCTGTGGTGCTGCGTGGCTGGCCGTCGTGTGCCCCTTTCTCCCTCCCTCTTGCCCGTGGAGAGCTGCCATGCGAGGCTCACCTCAGCGTAAGGTCCTCTTGTGCTGAGATGGCCGTTGCATGGTGAGCCGCGGCGGACAAAGGGAAGGAAGAGAGAGAGAGACGCCTTTTCGAACCAACGAGTATAGAGAGAGAGAGAGCGCTAAACGCTTACCGCTCAGTTACACGAGTGCAGCTTGGCGACTCACTCCCTTTTGGCGTGGCATTCCTTCTTACTTCCCTGCCCTGCCTGCTTGCCTGCCTGCCTGCCTGCCTGCCTGCCGACCTTCCTCCTCCCTCACACCCACCCATCCCTCGATGTGTGCGCCTGCCTTATGTGTGTACAGCCACAGGCCATATGATGTGATGTGATGTGTGTGAATGATTGACCGACCAGGTGAGGTGGCCGAGCCTCCCTGTTGGTCATTCCTGGAGTGGATGGCTTCGTCGGTCGGGTAGGTAGGTTTTCAACTGACTGACGGACTGACTGACCGACGGACTGGATGAATGGATGGATGGTGAATTAATCGCGCGTGTGTGTGTGGATGTGTGTGTGTGTGTGTGTGTGGTGATGGGGGGACGAAGACTTCATTCACTAGCTAGAGACACTTTTCCCGTGTCTGTCTGTCTGTATGTCTGTATGGATGGCCACGACTGACCGCGCAGGGAGACTTCACATGGAGACCATATGTATGAGTGTGTGTCGGTCGGATTCATGTGACAATAAAGGCTCAGTACCAGTACCTAACACGCTTTCACGAACCGGTCAGGTGAAACGCACCACTGACTGCCCTTCACAGACATCAGATTCAGCGAGTGGCGGTACAGAAAAAAGAGGCAGGTCATCTCGGTCAGTCAGGGCCTCTCTACTTTTACCCTGAGCTCGACTTCACCGGGCATGTCCTGCCACCATGCCTTGAGCTCCACGTGTCGCGTCGGGATCATCTTCCTGAGCTCCTCCTCAACCATGACCAAAAGCAGCTGACGCTCGGGGTAGCGGACGTCATCATCTAGCTGCTGCCGATACTCCTTGGCATCGTCCACCTCGGCAATGGCCTCACCAAGCACAGTACTGTAGCACGTCTCTTCATAGGGAGGGTGGTCAGGGAATATCTCGTCGAAATCGCGCCGCAGCAGCATCTGCGCGAATACCTTCACAATGCCACCACACACACACACCCCATTTGCACACCCCATTCGCACACAAGGCAAGGGACTCTGCATGCTTTCAGCACCTTGGCCAGCCGCTGATAGACGTCCAGCTTGTGAGGCTTCTTGACCGGCTCAGGAGGCTTCTCCGGCTCGGGGGGCAGCTGCAGGTGTAGCATGGCCAGCGAGATGCCGAAGAATCCCAGCTCCTGCTGCAGCTGCCGGGCGTCCACTGACTTGTCCACAAGGATGGGCGTGCCGTGGCGGTAGAACCGCAGCACATAGGGGAAGAGCGAAGGGTCGGCGTCGATGAAGACCGGCTGGCCCTGCTGGATGAGCTGATACTCGGCAGTCGACTCGTTGGTCACGAACTGCCCCAGCAGCGTCTGTGGGTGCCGTGCGAGTGTCGATTTCGCCACCTGGAACTCAGTCCCGCCCACATTCAGCCGCACCGGAGTCGTCATCGCGCCGACGCACAGCAGGACAATGGGAGATCTGCAATGGCAAGCACAAGGAAATGGTGATGCAAGGCCTTTCAAGTGACCGACGTCTTTTGCTCTCGTACCTGACTTGCCAAGATACAGCTCCACGAACACCAATCCAGCGGTTGAGAAGGTGCTGAGATCGCATGCAGCCAGTGGCCCTCCACGATCCCGCGAATTGTCCCGGGTTGTTGCCAAGGAGGCACAATAACCAACCAACCAAGGAGGCCATCAATGGCAAAGATGAGGGCTGTCCTGCAAAAATCCTTCGGTGGTGTGGAGCAGTTGTTCATCGGCGAGGCGCCGAAGCCTGTGCTCAAGGCTGGAGAGATCTTGATGGCGGTCAAGGCCACAGCAGTCAACAGAGCTGACACGCTGCAGCGACAAGGTCAGTGAGCTCACCACGCACTCATCCTTTGCGCCCAATCGTGAATGCCCTTCGTCTGCTCTGTGCGTTTGTCCCATGCGCCCGTCATGTAATCATCAGGCAGATACCCAGTGCCCAAGGGCGAGAGCGAGATCTTGGGTCTGGAGGCGGCTGGCGTCGTGGTCGACAAGGCGGATGACGTCACTACATTCAATGTCAACGACCGGGTCATGGCCCTGTTGCAGGGGGGAGGCTATGCGGAGTTTGCCGCTGTGCCCCATACGACCGTCATGCCCATTCCCAATGGCTGGGACTATGTCAAGGCTGCCTGTGTGCCGGAAGTATGGCTGACGGCCTTCCAGCACCTGCACGTGATTGCAAGTCAGTACTGCAGGTGCTGACCACTAAACACTGCACAGCGGACCCTGTGAACAACTGCCTGTGGTGCTGCTGTATGTGTGTGCAGACCTTGGTGAAGGCGATTCCGTGTTGGTCCATGCGGGTGCGTCTGGGGTGGGCACGGCGGCCATCCAGTTGGCCAGATTGGGCGGCGCTTCGTCTGTCATCGCTACTGTGTCCAAGGAGGAGAAGCTGGACCTCTGCAAGAGGATGGGTAGGTAGGGTAAGCCAGGCCCATGAGCACGACACCACAGCTAAAGTGCAGGCAGGCCTTGGTCGATTGCGTCTTTGTCTGTCAGGGGCGACTGGGTTGATCAACTACAAGGCTTGTGAGGGCCGCTTCTCGGACCAAGTCATGCAGATGACAGACAACAGGTGGGTGGGGGGATCGGCATGCACACATACATACGTACAGAGAGAGAGTCCTGCTTAACGCATCCTCTTCCTTCTCGTCAGGGGCTGTGACATCATCCTGGACTGCATCGGTGCCTCCTACTTCGACGAGAACGCCAAGGCGTGTGCGAGGGACGCCAGGTGGGTCCTGTATGGCCTCATGGGGGGGCCAAAGGTGCCTGAAGCAAACCTCGCCACGCTACTCGCTAAGAGGGTAGGGTAGGCTACTCTACGCACACACGTGAGACACATGGCTGAGAGATCCCGATACGCCACACATCACACATGACGCTAGATGCTGCTGCTGGTATTTGATTCTGTCTGTGCAGGTGCAGCTGACGGCCACAACGCTGCGCTCCCGCGACCTGGCGTACCGCTCTCGGCTTGTGGCGCGGTTTCGGAACGAGATACTGCCGCATCTGAGCAGCGAAGCTCTCCAGGTCAGTCAGTCGGCACCTGACAGGGGGGACGGACAAGTAGAGTACACTGACTCACTCATTGACTCCTTGCTTGGCGTGGATGGTGTGTGTGGAGGTAGGTGGTGCACGACAGCACGCTGCCGCTAGAGCATGTGCAGGAGGCACACATGAGGATGGAAAGCAATCTCAATGCGGGCAAGATCGTGCTGACTCTGTGAACCGTTCGGCGACTGCTCCATGCCATGTGTCTTGTGTGTGTGTCCTGTGTTTGCGCCGCGTCTGGATGGAAACAGACATGTGCTGCGTCCGGTGCGTGTTCTGTATAGTGAGTGGCTGCAGGGAACCTTACTTATTCTGCAACCAACCTGTCATGAAGGAACGAACATGTCTGTCTGTCTGTCTGTCTGTGTGGACGAGAAGTCACTCACGTACACACACACACGTATGTCTTGTCGTCTTCATGAAAGGGAAGGGATGGATGGCAACATCGGATAGAGTAGAATTATGGTAGGTCAGGGTACACACATCACATGCACCAATACATGCATGCGCATGCATGCGCCGACGGAGCGAGGGAGGGAAAGAGAGAGGGAGGGAGGGAGGGAGGGAGGGACGTACGCACCGGACCGCACACCATAAAGCCTTCCTTCCTTCCATCCTTGCTGTCTGCCTTGCTTGAACAAAAACAGAACGAACCGTGTATACGTCGCGGGCGGCCGTGGGTGGATGTATGGATGGATAAAGAGATAGATAGGTCGCCACAGACACGGAGAGAGAGGTAGACAAAACAACAAATACTCCCGCCCAGTAGCCCACCCCCCCCCCCCCCCCCCCC